CAACCGAGGCTATCTTTGGTATTTTTCTTCTAGTTTGATGTTTCCTTAGTGAATGCTCAATGGCTCGGAACTTCATTTTTAAGGAAAACTAATTAAGGCAGAGAAAGAGAGAATGAGGGAGAAGAAGCCACCAAGGAATTACACACAGCAGTAGATCAGATTCAGAAAGAACTTGTAGCCAACATTCCACTCGAGTTTTTAATAACGGCACGTATTGGAAGTTCCTCCACAAAACCAAATACAAATAATAAAACACGTATTAGCATGTGAGAGTTGGGGGTTTTTCTTACGCAGAGCATGTGAGACATAAGGAGCGGAAAACTGCAAAGCAGTGCAATTCATAGTTATTTTCTCTGATTACACCCAGAAACAACAGTACAAGAAATAATTTTAGTAATGGAAGTTCTGCAATGCCTCTGGCACAGTTGCGTATAGATTAATACTGTACTTTAAAGTTGAAACTAGGAAATGATAAAGAATGCCTCGTGTGCAATCAATTCAGATCTGAATAAAAACTGGAAAATTGTGGACTATGGACTGTGAGCCATTATGCTTTCTTGGTATATGACAGTTGATGTTACTGCAACTGAAAGTATCACCAGCTTAACTCAAGCATCAATGTATACAAAGTTAAGAACATGATTGCTACAACTTCAACGACTCCTCTTTTTTTTCCTAACTTTTTTTTTTTAACTAACATATTGTACAACTCGGTAAACAAGCTTGGGCATCTTTTCAATGCTGAAACATGATAAAAGGGTTAGCTAAATGACCTATTTGTTAGTGGCGAATTTAATGGTTAGATTTGAAAATTCCGATTATCAGCTCCATGGTGAGAATATAACCGTAGCAGGTTAGTATAAGAGTCTTTAGATGTTACTTAATGGTTAGTAACAAAGAGTCATGCAAGATGAGCAATGATTAATGGAAGTCTTTAGATGTTTCTTTCAATTATGAACAGAATCGATGCACATGCGCATGCACATAATTATAGTAGTTTAGTTATTTAAAATATGCAATAATTATTTAGTAGTTTCTTAATTACTAAGTCTTTGTTATAGGGTATTTTAGTGTTGTATTAATGTGGTGAGAAGAGTGAGACAGAAAAAAATTATTATGAAATGCTAGTAAGAGTGTCCATTGTTTATAAAGGTAATTTTGCTTTTTATATGTGCCAAATATGCTTTCATTATGCACTTTTTATATGCTAGCAGTCTTGTAAAATTAAATTTCCGCAAAACTAGGCAATAAGCACTAATTGTCATCAATTACTAAACGACTTCCAAAATATCACAAAACAATATGTCCTTCAAGTATAGCCAGGGTCCATAATGTTTTCTATAGGTGTTTTTGAAAAATTCTACCGTAACTTTTGGTGCGTTGCAGTTTACTGCTAAAAATGCACTCAAGATCATCATCCAACCCCCACTTTCTTTGTCAACTTTGTGAAATCAAAGTTTTAGTACTTAGTGTACCACTCATATCAACACTAACAACAAAATCGTTTGACATGAATATTTCTTCCCTCTGTTTTACTGTACTTTTTTCCCCAGCTAGCTTAAGTATCGAATGTATATTCAACACTTCAATCAAGAGGGAATGCTCTGAAAAGATAAGGAAATAAAAAGAAAAAAGAAAATGGCACTTGGGGCATTTTAAGTACCTATTTTAATTGGCTAACCAAGAATTTTAAAAAATAAATAAATAAAGGCTTTCGTATCCTTGGTCCCTAAAAAGGAAGCTTCAGCCAAATGTGGTCAAAACTTTTTCCATTATTCTTGGATTTCCTTTTTGAACAAAGGACGTATTGATCACTTAACTCTAGATCATGACCAATGACATCGGCAGTTTCACGGTTATTGTGGAAAAAGGTAGTTACAGAAAATGCAAAACCTAGCTGCTGAACATATTGGTTTACTCGACAGAGGAGGGGGAAAAAGAAAAAGAAAAATGCTCTAGAAAACGTCTAGAGAAAGGGAGGGAGAAGTAAACACTCTACTATTAACGACCGCAAAAGTTACATCCATTTGTCTTAGTGGAATTATCTCTTTGGTACTGCCATGGCTGGCTGGCCAAATGTGGCAACTCTTTCTGTAAAATGAATTGCAGAAGGTATAGGCAAATATAAACTCATCCAAAACCTAAGTTTAAACTAAATTTTGTTAGCTTGAATTTGTAAGGGACACAAAATTAACATTTTAAAAATAAATGACTAAAAAATTCATTTAACGAAATATAAGATACGTTTTAAATGATTTTTCCCACAAAATAACACAATAGTTTAGCAAGTGTATATGGTTAGTCAACGATTGGGATAGGTCTAATGGTTAGAGGAAGGCTTTAGCATTCTCTCTACTGTTAGATTCAGAATTCAAATTATATATTTGATAGTTGGGGACCCAATAGCAAGAGTAGAGCTCTTAGAGTTCATTTCGCTGATAGATTTAGGATTCAAATCATGCACCTGATGACTAGAGTGGAAAGGATATAAGGAGAGGTGGTAGAACTCAGATGTTAAAATTTCTATTTAAATATACTTTTGAGTGGAAAGTATGTGAAAAGAAAGAGAAGAATTCAGGTATTGAAACACCCAATATTATTTCTAAGGACTGTGAACAAGCCTAACAATCAAGAGATCCACTGGTCAGAGCTAATGATTAATCATGAACATGATACAAACATATATATATATATATATATATATATATATATATATATATATATTTTGGCTGCTCAGGATGTTACAAACATAGTTACCAAGTACCAACTGATCACTTGAACTACTAAATAAACGTTAAACTTTAAAAGTTTAATTGAGATATCTATTGACGTTTAAAACTTTAATGATACGCGTTTAGTCTAACGGGTGTTTTAAAAGGTTGACAATATTAATTTTTCTTTTTATCAAAATGAGGAGGCGAGAGTGTTTATGGTGATGCCATAATCTTCCTAGGCACCAAACAAAATTGAAATTCAGTGCCAAAACTAACACAGATCAATGCCCATAATTTGACAAAACTCTTGCATTCTGCTATTTGGCTCATCACTGAAAATTTTGACTTTTTGCTTCCATAAAATGTTATCCTTTTTGTTGCAAAAATTTGGTATAGTTTCCTCTGATGAATGTTGAGATTGTCTAATCTTCTCATTATACATGGGAAATTGTGTTAATGGTTCTTTTGATTTGCAGAACAACTAAAGCAAAAATTATTATTACTATGTTATTGACCGTCGTCTCTCCTATTATCTTCTATCATGTTCTTTGAAAGTTAGATTTTTTTTTTTTTTGAGCTTTAATTTATCTGCTTATTCATTTATTTGTCGATTGTCAATATCAACACTATTCTTACTCTAATCTATACGAAGGGAAGGGAGGGTCCAACTAAACCAAAAAAAATACTAGCGGAACCAAAGATTGAGAGTTGAGAAGGCAAAGACTATGAAAGATGTACGTACACTCGAGTCGAGGGGATGCCATTGTGTCTTTCTGAAGTACTTGGGAGGACAAGTTCTAATTTTTTCAAGAATATAACTGAAAAGTCTTAATACTTTAAGGGGATATAAAGTAATTTCCAAAATCGCTGCCCCTATGGATCCGCCAATGTAAAGAGTGGAGGGCTAGATTTCACTTTTCAGAGCGAGAGAAACTCACCTCTAAACCAGTACTAGACAGACACCCTCTGAATTCTTCTGCTACGGGTGAAAAGCTTCAATTCGAATGCTCCAAGTCCACGTTTTTCAATTTAAAATCACAAAGATAGCGTCTGCACGTTTTTCCAGTAAGCACTACCAAAAATCACAGAGGAACTTATAGAACTGATATCTGATGAGAGCAAGATAAATCACGCATAAACTTCACTTATCAGTAGGAATGCCGGTATCAAATAGCCTTCCTCGAGGTGGGATAGGGAACTGATCCAGCAAGTCTTTGAGGAGGAGGAAGGGAGGAACATACTGAGAAGCCCGCTTGGGGTACAACCTCTGAAGGATAGAATATATTGGAATTTCTCTCCTACAGGTATGTACACAGTTAAGTCAGGGTATAGATTGGCTAAGAAAAGGAGAAGGAGGGGGTGGCAGGCAGATGCTGGATCTAGTTGTTCGAGGGTGGGAACTAACCCGAGCTGGACTTTTCTGTGGGGCTTGAATATGAAACATAAGTTGAAGCATTTCATTTGGAAATGCTTGCATGGGGTGCTGCCAGTGAATGCTGTGGTCAGAGAGAGGTGCACGAAAGGTGATCCTATGTGTATAAGCTGTGGGGAGAGCACGGAAACTATTGAACATTGCTTGTTTCTATGTCATCAAGCCAAAGCTATATGGAAGATTGCGCCTCTGAGTTGGGATGGTTTAGAGATGTTTTCAAACAGTTTCTGGCATTGGTGGGAGGAATTAAAGGGGCGGCAAAGGAGGGAAATGGGAGGGAGCGTATTATCTTGACTGTCAACTTGCTGTGGCAAATTTGGAAGTCCAGGAATGCTAGGCAGTTTGATGAGAATCGTGGAGACCCAAGGATGGTAGTAGAGAAAGGATTAAGGGAGTGGAGGGAGCATCAGGAAACTCAGGAAGGAGTGAGGGGAACTGGTGAAGGTCAGGCGAGGAAAGATGAAGCAGTGTTAGGTTGGAGGAGGCCAAGGGCTGGTTGGGTCAAGGTGAATTCAGATGCAGCGTTACACCTTGAATCTGATAAGGCAGGCTGGGGGATGGTAGCAAGGGATTGGCTAGGAGGATTGCTGGGGGCTTGGGCTGTTCCTAATTTTAGCTGTGCCAGTCCAAAGGTGGAAGAAGCAAAAGCGTTAAGGGAGGCTATGGTAATTGCCCATCAGCAAGGTTGGCGGAGGGTTGAGTTTGAAGTGGATTGTAGTCAGGTAGTCAAAGCAGTGTGCAGTGAGGAGGAGGACGTAGCTAAGCTATAGCAACAATTGCACATAATGTCAGGATACTTGGGTCAAATTTTGATGAATGTTGTTTCACCCTTACAAACAGGGTGAACAACTTTGTTAGTCACAAGATAGCTAAAGTAGCTATTACTTTGAAGCAAAATACTGAATGGAAGGAAAACTTCCTGGTTTGGCTGCTTGAACAAACTCGAGCAGATTGTACGGGCAGTTGCCCACCTATACTGTAATGTTTCCTTATTAATTCAATGTTGCAGATTGGAAAAAAAAAAAAAGCCTTCCTCGAGCTATAATTGCCTGCAATGTCATCCAGAAGAAACTTTAAGTTACTACTATTAACTAAGAGCAAGTTAGCAACCTCATAAATGCAGGAGAATGTAAATTTAGAGATAAAATCTTTTTTGCAAACGACATTGTTGAAAAAATAAGCAATTCATAATTAATGTATTGACAACCTCTCTCTCCCAGTTCGCGGAACTTGTTTTGAAGAAAAGCAGAGCAGATTGCAGGACTGATCCAGCACTCAGTCCAATCCAAAGGCCAATTCCTTTAAACTGGAGGACAAAACTGGAGCTTCAATACTAACTAAATATAGGATAAATGTACTTCTACAATGCGGAAAAATACCATATCGAAATCACTGCAGCTTCGAATGGGACATTTGACAGAAGTCCAGAAGGTAAAGCGAGTACTTCAAACTTCCACCATTCAAGACTGTAATCATCATGATAGTATTATGATCCATAAAAGATGATGTAAAATCAGGAACAATTTCTGCTCCTGGGAAGAAGGATCCAGAGAGTTACCATACCGTGACCGCTGAAGGGATAGCAACTTTGATGAACTCTCCCATGCTTAAGAAAGCATCTGTTGAGAAAGAAATACGAGTCTTTTCACAGGCTGCAGAATACTTCACATATAAAACAAGCAATATGACATTAAACCAATAGGATAACCCAAGTGCCAAGGCAGCTCCAGTATTCCCCAGTTTCAAGTAGAACACGAAAGCCCAACAAACAGGCAAATGGAAACATAGAGCTGCAACTGAACTTAAGACCAGTGGGAGGATCAAATTCTGAGTCTGCAAGTAGCGAATCAGCGCTTGGAGAACAGCATAAGGAAATAATGCAGGAATGAGCCAAAATGCATATCCGCCAGCTTCGGCTGAAATCAAATGGTTTTGACCAGTGAAGATCAGTAGTTTATCCAATAAGAGCCACAGTAGTGATATTGGTATGCAGACCATGATTAGGGATATGATGGCACCATAAGTATTCATCCCTAGCTTGTGGTAAAGCCCTGCTCCACAAGCTTGGCCACAGAGAGATTCCAATGCACTAGCCATTCCAAACTGCGTGGAAATCAATCGACTGTTGGATTAGCTCTGATACGATTTGCGCAAAAATCACAATTTCATAATGTAGAGTTGTGCAATAATTTAATTGTGACAATTGCATGGTTGCTTCTAATCTCATGTGAAAGATTGCGAATTATAAGTAAATCATAGACAAGGGAACCACAATTTAGCTACATCAATGGTGGTGCAAAGGGTACCTGCTTAAAATCAGTTTACGTAAAGCTGTTAATCATCTCATCAGATTTAGCATTACAACAGAACTACCAAATTGAGCTTATAATCTACTCGCCTACTGGACAAATGCACTCCATTCTCTACAACGAGCTATTTAGCAACTGATGGATGACCGCTGCTACGCATTATAATTCAAATTCAAAACAAGCCTTTACGAGTAATATCTTTATGAAAAACATCAGAAAAAACTAACAAACGACGCTGCATTAATGCAGGATTACTTTAAAAGATTACTAATGTTGCTACAGAAACCGATAGCCCTGGAAGATATCATAAGGAAAGAATATATTACAAGGAGAGTGAAGCCGGTGACATCGGTAAGATAAGTAGCAATTGATGTGCCAGAGAAGGAGTCTTCACCAAAATGTCCAGCCATGATCATCGATGCAATCCGGGAGAAGTGCTGTGAAGCTGTCACCACCACCACCAAGGGCAATGCTATGCTGCTAAACATCTTCAATTCTTGCACAAATAAATCCCGTCTTGGAACCACCCTTTTCCTCTGTACCATATCTCCTGGCAGCGGTTCTTCCATTCTACAATGTATTCTTGCACTTGCAGTGACTTTTTTCAATCGACAAGAATAACAAGAGCTGGCCTGTCAAAGAGACAGAGTATGGCTTTCACTTGTACATTTACTTATACGTTGAACTAACACAGTGGATTCCGAAGAAGTTTATGAGTTATGATAGGTTGCCGGGCTATTGAACTTGAACCACACTCTGCTGTCAGAACACGGGGAAACAACGAAAGAAATTGTACAACTAGTTAGCTCCCCAGCGCTAGTTAGCTAACGTGCAAGTGCCGGACTGGGAGCCAACCCTCGCAGTTGACTTTGAATAGCGTCGACAATTAATGTTGTGAGATTAAAAAAAAAAAACAAAGGTAAATAAAATACTAGGATAATTTATGAAACCCCCCTTGGGCGTCCTTTTGACAATTTCAAGGAGCTCCTTTCAGGTTTTTATAATTACACTTAACACTCTTCATTAAATAAAATGACTAAAGTACTAACAATTATATACCTGACTGGAAAGTAAAACAAAGACTAAAGCCAACGGAACAATTTAAAGCAACTCCCTCTCCTTTCTTTTGGTTCTTTGCCTCCAATTTTTCCCCACCAAAGTTCACCCCCTAACTTTCCTCGTCCTTTCTATCCCTTTATTTCTTATTCATTAAGCACCTCTACCTTATTTTTCGCCATGCACCTAATCCTAGAATATACTAAAATTTGTGATTTATTTCTATACATACTCAATTTCACATGTAGTGCGATTGATTTATGGTTTATAGTATTTTATTGACAGATTCTTTAATTAATTGGTGGGGCATAGATAATAAGCAAAAAGAAAAGAAAACTAGAATGGAAATCCAGGCAGGAAAAGAATGCTAGGGTGAAGAAAGGGCAAGAGGTTAGTCATGAATTCATGAAGATTTTTGCTGCATGAGATGAGAAGTAAGAGGATTATCAATCAAGCCTTGCAGGTTGGATAGTTATAGGAAGCAACAAGTAATCATTATTAGGGACAAGTGGACCAGGGAGAGAAGCAGTAGTGGCTTATTCACAAGTTTCCGTGTTCAAGAAAGGAGTCCTTTGAGTTTTCCGAGGAAGGAAAACTTGGAAAGAGGCCAATTTGATGGTTGTGGCGCCAGTGATGCTGATGGAGAGGTACTGTAGAATAGACTTGATGATCTAATGATTTCGTTGCAGTTTTGGGAAGCAAAAGAGGTGGTGAATTTGTTGGGGAAATATATGACTATGACTGGAAAAATAATTAACACAAGGGATTTTTTAGGACATTGATAATTCTTTCTTATGTTTTGTTGTTACTTAAATAGTGAAAGCAAGGGGGTAATTGTAATTATGAAAATCTTAGGGGAGCTCCTTGAAATTATCGGAAATCTCAATGGAAATTTCTGATATCATCCTAAAACACTGCTAGCATAGTACCATACGATACACAATAATATGGGTTAGACAATTTGGCAAAGTAAGCGTTATGTGCGCGTTTTCGCTTCGATTCTCTTTTCTCTCGTTTCCTTCAGCAAGAAAATTTTTCCCTCTACCATCGCACCGCGTTTAGGAGAAATGTTGATTAATCAAATTGGCAGCGTCTGCCGGCGAGAAACGAAAAAATTTTGCACTGTTCAGATTGTGTGTTGACACAAGTTTATGAATTCAGTTAGCATAGGCAAAGGTATATGGATGCTATAAAATTTTAGATTTAGTGCTCCACGTGGCTTAAATGAGCAGTGTGAAACCCAAAATCGCAAGTATAATAAAAGAAAGAAACCATCATATCCTTTGATCCAAAGCCTTTGACCTCTGACCCAAAGAAAGTTACTACTGTCCCAAAACTAATTAGCATATGTATACACGAGATAGTACATTGAGAGGGAAACTGCAAAATTCAAGGAGGGCTAGAAGGAATCAAGGAGGAGAAGCCAACTCTTTTCATTGAATTATATACTTAAGCGCGTACGTAGGTAAAATGATGATTAATTAAGTTCGACAGATGTATTTGTTCATTGCGTAGGCTAAGGGATTGAAGGGTGTGATGCGCGTGTCAAATAAGAAGGGCAGGAAATTTGACAAAAGGAGGGGAAAAGATTTAATTCAGTTATATGAATTGTCTTGAGTTGCCATGGATAGCAAATTTGTCTAAGGAATAAAGCTTAAAATTTTACATACTTCTTAACGGTGAAAAACAATTCAAATGGTAAAAAATAATGAGAAAACATCCTAAAATGCATGATTTTATGTTTTATTTGGTGATTTCTTTTACATAATAATTCCTTGTTTTACAAGTCTAAAAAGTTATATAAACAGGGCATTAGTTGAAATACATTCTCAAGAGAATCTACGGCCAAGAGATCGAGTCTAATAGAAATCTGGTGTTTCTTTTATTATTTGAAGTATTAATAATATCGTGTATTATTTTTATTTCTTCTCTTGTACATGTGTTTTGAATAATTAATCTATCCCTTGAATTTATAACCCTACACGTAATTTATTATTGAAACCTTAAATTTATTAGATTCTACATGGGGTACATATGATACCGCGAAATGTTGCACACGAACGATTTTCAAATTCATGAAATTAGTCCTGTGGTCATTTTGATTGTTTCTGTGACTTAATCATGCCGGGCAATTTTTTTTTTTTTTTTTTTGTGCTGACGGAGTGGGTGTCCGGATCAATCCTTACGGGCCCGACTAATTCCACTCCGGTCCAGGAGAAGAGGCCCCATCCACCCGAACACGATAATCACAGGACTCGAACCCTTGCGAGCATTGGATACCAGCTCTTAAGGAGATTTGCTGAGACCAACCGAGTTGCCCATGAGGAGCAGACAATTTGATAGGAGACAAGGGTTGAACCCCTGACCTCCCACCCCACCACGAGAGGTGGTTCATGGCGGGCAATTGCCTCAGTGTAAATCCACCATTGTTCATCTGCGCACCGCCCCCCCCCCCCTTGACAAACCCAAGGCATCACTATTGCCGCCGCCGCCGCATACACACACCATAGCTCGGTCTAGGAGAACTACCATCTCTTCAGCCTCCACGCCGTGCATGACTTCGACTTCGAGCAATATTTGTGAAATATAAATGTGTCATATTAGTAAGCTTTTATATATCTAATGCTATTTAGAATCTTTTATTACAGTGTCTACATAGCATGTCTTTCATCTCTGTAAAAAACAAGAAAGAAAAACTAGACATTGTTTGAGTCTTGAAAATTAATCTAATCTAACCTAATCTAATTGATCGTTAATTTAATATTCAAAAAAGAATCAAATAATACCTACGTACAACTCGCACTAACAATGTCCATCAAATTGGTGTACAAATATTGCACATGTGACGTGCCCAACTAATTAGATGAATTGTTCAAAATTCTTGCTGAAAAATTCTTGTTGGGACAACCTTCACAAGTCCTCAAGATTTTATATGTGTGGATCAATTTCGATATACTTGGTCAAATGGGTTATAATAACCACATTAAAACGTTTATTAATCTTAAAGAATACAGTGGTTAGGAGAGACCACAAGAGGAGGTAAAGATGCGCTGGATTGTAGCACCTAACCATCATATTTATGCTTTATTAAGTTAAGATAAGAAGACAAATATATTATTATTATTCTCACGACGCAAAGTTGTCTTGCATAATTAGCCAAAGAAAGAGGTGATTATAATAGTGAGGTGCGAAAATGACAAGGCGCTTAAAGGTAATCATTGATTGTGGATGTCCTGTATACTCGCCATCCATTGTCTGCCACAGTACTGTTCTGATCGTTGAAATACAAATAGATATTTCAGGCTACGCTTTCTATCATTTTCCATTCGCTGTACCACTACCATCCTCTTGTTCTAAACTCTTTTCCGCCTTAGTCTTGATCCTAAAGGATAGAATACAGCAGACCAAGGAGACAGGGCAAACGACAGTAGAATGACGATAGAAATAATTTCCTACACAGAAAAAACAAAAATATAAAGATCAAAAAGTTGAACAAATCAAGACGGCACTCCGGTTGGTGACTGTTGAAGACCGGCGGAGTTGAGCGTCGTCTTTTTACGTTTCATCTCTGATCCTCTGCGCATCAATGAATGTCTACTGAACTGAAAGACGTTTCTAGCAAACCATCCCACCAAGTCCTTGGTAACAGAAAGGAAAATCCAATTCTCCCGTCGAAACCAAAAACTGATAATGAAATCTTTGTCAAATTCCCTGCGCTTCATTCATTGTCCCTAATATACTGTTCCGCCATGACGCTCGGTTTTTTGGACTATTTTTTGTAGAACTCCCTCAACAGTTATGTCGAAGGCATCTTTGGCATCATTCCCCAGCCCTTCGCTAGGAAAAGCATACACAAGCCTGGGAATAAGCTCAATTACCTTGTCCCTCATCCTCTTGATATCTTCCTTACTAATACCCTCCAACACTCTTCTTACTGAAGTCCCATTTCTGACCTCTTTCCGGTCTATGAACACCGAATAGCTCTCCGGCTCGCCCGACAAGAACATCTCGTGCTGTCCCCGGAAACTGCCTTCCCAGAAAAACACCGGTATCGAACCGGACAACATGCAGTCGAACGTGGACTTCCTGGTATCCGTGTCACCCCTCGGCTGCAAGCAGAAGTCCGAGTGCAACAACGCTTCAAGAATCGCAGAAGAGCCATCGGAGCACGGGGTCTTGTCACAGTCCACGAGGTTGCACGCGTCCGCCTCGTTGCGACAATGATCCAATAGCAGAGTCCTAAAGTCGTTCTTGACCTTTTGACGCTTTGCTCCTACAAACGTGAATAGGCTCGTCCGGTTACGACTCCCCGCGAATTGCTGCCATTGCTCAATCTCAGGAGCGGACCTGGGATGGAATCCCGTAGGATACGGATAGCTGATTTCCAGGGGGTCCCACGGGTGTCGTTCAACTGTCAGCCGTAACATATTTTTCATCAAGGGCGTGAGAAGAAACCTGGTACCCCAGTCGTCGTCGGTTTTCCGTCTGAAATCCCACGTCATCCTCCCCAGCACAAGAAAATGATCCGAGCCGTTGGATCGCTTCCAGTAAGGTTGCTCCTTAACCCACTCGAGGAATCTCTCGCAGGGATAATCGCGCTCTGATGCGGTGTAGTTGGTGAATAGATACTTGGAAACCGCTAGTCCAGCATAAAAGGGGACGTAGAAAGCCGTAGCGGATTCTGGCTCCATGGTTCTGCACTTGTAGTGTGACATCCGAGTGTGGTAGATGATCTCACCGGAGAACATGTCCGTCCACCACCATGATGGGGCGAGCTCCTGAGGGACAGTTCCCGCCAGGGTGGCAGCGGCGTTTGGGCCAAATCCATTGTTGGAGACCGCAGGGCATTTGGATTTCCAAGGATCTAAATCGTGACAATTGATCACTAGTTCCTTGTTAAAGATGGGAGGAAGGTCGTATGCGTAAACCTTTCCGTATTTGCATTGTTCGTGGTTATCATCTTGATCAGAAGGAGAAGCAAGCTGGTGACCTTCGATGGCTTGTTCTAGTGGTACTTGTTTCGTATTGTTATCACCATCTTCATGGTCAGGAGGAGAGCCCAGCTGGTGACTAACGTCATCTTTTGGCTTGTTCCCGTCCTCAACAACTTCTTCCAGTGGTTGTTGTTTGGGTTGCTGTTGTTCCTGTACTGCTACTTGTTCTTGTTGAATTTTATCATCATCAAGAGGAAGATCCAGCTGCTGAATGACCTGTGGCTGCTGCGGTTGTTCTTGTTGTAGATGGGTGGGCGGATATTGCTCATGTGTCGGAGGAGGACTAGGACCACCACGAGTGGTGAGGAGGACTAGGAGGATAGAAAACTGGAAAAGAATGATCATAAGAAGCCATGCACAGTGGTAGAAAGAAACATAAGATTTCACCAATCTGAATGTGTTTTTCAAATTAATGGTGGTCTTCTTCATAGGGTGACTGTCAAGAATATTATGGCCTTTAACCGTTGATGAGGATTTGGAAAAGGGATTCATTCTGCCCCGATCAATTAGAGTGGCTTGGCTTGGTCTCTAGTACTGTTGCAGATGGATACATATGCAGGGATGCCCGAATATATTCTTTCTTTGCTTCATATGTAGTTGGGTAAAGCATATGTATCCATCTTTCACATTTAAATGGTTTGCTTCAAAAAAAAACTAGACGAATGTGTTGTGCACTCGTTTGATCCGATAGTGGTTCAATCCCCTCCGAATTATTCCTGAACTTCTTTAGGTTCGCCCCCTCCCCTTTAGTGTAGCATAAATTAAGGGTTCGTTTGGGAGTGAAAGATTTGGATAGAAAAGAAAGGGAAAGAAGAGAAAGTTTACTTTTGCTTCATTTGTTAGTTTTAAGTTGGAAAAAAAAGAAAAGAAATGGAAAGATGAATAGTTAAAAAATTGCTTCCTCCCAAATAGGAAAGAAATGGGAAGAAAGTTTGGAGAAAGCTTGATATTTTTTTTAAAATGCCTATTTTGTCCTTAAAAAGGTTTTGAACAAATATTTAATGACTTCTATGTCCAAAATCATTCCACTAATTCTCAAAATTCCCAAACAACATAACAATCTTTTCCCTTCTCTTCTCTTCTTTCATAATTTAAGCTTTCCCTTCTTTTCTTTTCTATCCTAAACTCCCAAACTAAGCCTAAGTTATACAATGTTATCGTCTAAAAAAAAAAAAAAAAAAAGTAAAGCACTACAACTTCAATCATCATGACGTAGGGTCACTTCTTGTTAGATTTTGTTTTTGACAACCTTTTGCTGTTAGAACATTTGTCTACATGTTGTTTTATTTGTATGCGTGATGTACGGGAGTACACAACTATTTTAAAAATTGTATAGTATATTTTAAATCTTCAAAGCCAATTAATCATAAACAAGTACGTGCTTTGCTTCAAATCTTGCCTCCCACCAAATGCTACATTTAAAGTGGGTTGGTTTCAAAAAATTCAAATGGATGCATAGTGCATCCGTCTAGTTCGGTGGTGATTCAATCCCCTCCGGGTTACTCCTGGACCTCTTTAGATCTGCCCCCTCCCCCTTAGTGTAAGATAGATTAGGTTATACAACAGTTATCGTCTTTAGAAAAAAAAAAAACGTACTTTGCTAGGAATCACTTTTGTTTAGGGATGGCAGCAGTCAAGGTAAGGTCCAATAGATCCGCTGATATTCAACCCGAAGGTTAATCCGATTAAACGATTGAGGGGTAATCCATTAAGATTTGATATTGACGAGCGCTTAACAACAAACAATCGGACAGGATTTGATAAGAGAACCCTAGGAACTCAATGTATACATACATATATATACATAAACATAAACACACATATACATATATGTAAACACACATGCCTCAATTTTATAGTCCAATGAAATATAATTTTAACTCTATTGAAATTTAAAATTTCAAGTAATGTGTTAATTTAACATGTATATATTAATTGTAGTTTGATGATAATTAATACACTTTTTTTTTTGAATTATTTATATTAACGGGTAAAGGGTATCCAATCTATAATCCAAACCCGAAAGAAAGAGGGATTGATAATAATGGAGTTAAAACTCTAGGAATACACGATAGAACTTGATAAATGATTTAGACATGCGAGTTAAAGATTGACAAAAAAAAAAAAAATTTAGAGGGCACCTAACCCTCTCCATTCTTACTTTCTTTAGTCTTCACCGACAATTTCAGCACACGGAATGTAAATGGTTGACATTGCTGAGTTTGGCTGAAATCTTACGCCACCGAAAAAAGGGAGAAAGGAAAAAAAAAAATGGGAGAAAAAGAAAGCTGTATCGTTTCATTCCCATCCAGTAGCTAATATTTGAGTGATGCAAGTTCGGGTAATTAATCCGTGTCATGTGTTTGTTTACTTGTCAAATGAACGATGCACAATATGGACAACATGAAAATTCTAAAGCCAGTTGCTTTCAATATTGGCTGGCTTAGATTTTCCTTTCTGTAGTAATCAAATACAGACTGAAGAATTTCGCTGGAGGTGCGTAGCAGCTGAACTGGCGTTAACGTCAAAAATCAAGACCACCGCATATCTCCCATCAAAGCTTTATGCACGAAACCAACGGCACGGGCAAAAAGCGAGGAAGGATTCATAGTTGGGAGGTTTTTGTTTTCATATTCTCACAGGAGTGACCAATCGATCTCTAATCTTCTTTCCCATTTGAAGATGGCACGCGTTGCTGAGTAGGTTATGAATGAATACGTGTTAAATCAATCTAGCAACTAATGAAGGATTTAAAGGTATTGGAAGAAACTTGAGAATTGTTGGGACAAAAAAATCTATTAGCAGAACAGGGTTTTCAGCCTCACCAAAATGGGCAGCATAAGCCGTAGATCTCCCTAGAAACCAAAAAAAATGATGCAAGAACAACTGTGTCTGCTCTGCTCAACTGACCGGTAAGCACTAGTTGTCTTGCAAACAAAACGAAATTCCTACACTTCAAATAGTACCTATTGCTAATTTTGGAACAGGACGAGTCTGGAAATGAAACCATACCTAAACTGGTGACAAAGCCCAGATGGAAGTATGCAGAGAGAGCAGAGGCTGGGCGCAGCCCAAAATATCCTGACAGGTTTTTCAGTGAACTACATGTTAGATAAAGTGGAGGCGAAACCATTCAGACAAGGCCTACCTGAATGAAGCATGGTGTTTGAACTTTGAAGTGCAAGTTGTATAGCTAAGTTTCGCCAAATCAACATTTATTTGGCTGTATCATTTTTTTTTTTTAATTTCAATCACCTTTTTATCTTACATATTCATCGCATCACGAAAAGTGACGTTACTGTAACTATTTCAAAGAATATCTCAAGTAATCTCCTCTCCTATCCAAATACACTCAATAAAGACTACCTAAGATAACAATTTGACATGCTATTTAAAAGCGAGTGTGATGTCTCTCATACATCCTTTTCTAAAATGGTTACGAATTCACTTTGAAAAAAGAGAAAAAAAATAAGTAATTGAACAAAACAATCAAAGTATGTATGGCAGAAAAAATAAAGCCGTGAGTTGCTGAGTGCACCCCCAACCCCCCCCCCCCCGGGGCGGCGGGGGTCGTTGTCGTCCGTAGCCATCGACTTACTCTGGGAACGTGATCTCATTCATGATACGGGTCCCGACCCGTATGGATTGGCATTTTTGACTATTCTTCTCAGCACTTCCTCCACGCCTATGTCGAAGGCATCTTTGAGATTGCCCAATCCTCCCTCCGCAGCTGGAAATGCGTACGAAATCCTCGGGATCATGTCAATCACTTTCTCCCTCATCTTCTTGACGTCTTCCCTGCTGTATCCCTCCAACACTTTCCTTATCGAAGTCCCGTTCCTCACTTTATTCCGGTGGATGAAGACCGAAAAGGACTCGGTTTGATCAGACATGTACAGCTCGTACTGGCCCCCAATGGTTCCCTCCCAGAAAAAAACGGGTATGGAGCCGGCCAGCATGCAGTCGAACGTGGACCTCCTGGTGACCGAGTCCCCCCTGGGCTGCAGACAAAAGTCCGAGTCCAGAAAGGCCTCCAGGACCGAGGAAGCGCCGTCCAAGCATGGGGTCTTGGCACAGTCCACAGCGTTGCACGAATCCGACTCCTCGTAACACTGATCCAGCAACAAAGCCCTGAAATCGTTCTTGATATACCCGCGTTTTCCGCCAACAAACGTGAAGAGGCTCGACCGTTTACGACTCCGAACAAATTCCTGCCACTGCCCAACTTCGGAGGTGGTCCGGGGATGGAATCCGGAGGGATAGGGCACGCTGACTTCCAGTGGGTCGCCAAGGCTCTTTTCTATCGTTAAGCGGAACATTTGTCTCATGAGGGGCATGAGGAGGAAGCTGGTCCCCCAGTCTCCATCGCGGGCCCGTCTAAAATCCCACGAACTACGCCCCAGCATAAGAAAATGATCAGAACCGTTGGATCTCTTCCAATGCGGTTGGCCCTTGATCCACCGGAGCAAATTCTGGCACGGAGCATCGCGCTCTTTCGCAGTGTAGTTTGTGAACAGATACTTGGAAACCGCCAGCCCAGCGTAAAAGGGCACGTAGAATGCCGCAGCCGATTCTGGCTCCATGGTTCTGCACCTGTAGGTGGAAATCCGAGCGTGAAAGATAATCTCGCCGGCGAAAAGGTCGGTCCAGTACCAAGTATGAGCGAGCTCTCGCGGGACCGTGCCGGCGAGCGTAGTGGCGTTTGGTCCGAACCCGTCGTTGGACACCGCCGCGCACTGGGATCTCCGGGGGTCCAAATCCTGGCAATTCTCCAGCAGTTTCTTGTTGAAAATTGGAGGAAGGTCGTATACATAAACCCTTCCATACTTGCATTGTGCTCGGTCATCGGGATGATGGGGAGGAACCAGCGGCTGTTGACTAACCTGTTCCGGCGGCGTCCCCTGGAGCTGGGGACGACGGACGGGCGACAATCGGTCGGCGGCTGTGGGAGGACTGGGAGCACGAGTGGTGGCAGTGAAGGCTAGGAAGATACAAAATTCCAAGAGAAAAAGAATGAGGGCCCATGCGAATTGGTGGAAAGAAACATGGGAGCGGACAAAATTAAGTGCCTTCTTGAAATCGAACGCAGTAATAGTACGCTTGGGATTCCCATGGACACCGCGGTCCTTAACTTGTGACGAGGAATTGGAAAGGGGAAGCATTCTGCTCCGACTCTGATCTGAAGTGGTGGCTTTGGTCCTCTCTTTTGGCCTTCGTCTCGTCTTGGGAGTGCAAATTGCATATGCGTAATTGCGTATGCTCCTCGTGTTAGTTTTTGTTAAAACGTTAATCTCAACCGACGAGACTAATTCTGGCGCAAACACCATCAAACCAACTGTTGTCGGATGAATTAGAGAATGATACAAGTCTGTCTGCAACGAGTAGGGTCAATATTTGTGGATTGCGTATAAAATTTGTGTTTGTACCGGGCATTGTATTACGATGTGCTCGCACCAATCGAGTGTCTCGCAACGGATCTTCTGTCTCACATTCTGTGTCACTTTCTGTCACATTTTTTATTATATTGCTATTTCTTCTTTATAAACATCATGTTTTAATTCCTTTTTGCTTCCTTAAGATCCAATAACTATTAATTGAGTAATACACAAAATTTAACAAATTCAAGAAATCAAAATGCATAAAAAAATTAGATTTTTTATGAATTTTTTGCTATATTTTTTAATTTTTTATTATATATTACTTTTTTGAAGCTGTTGTATTTATTTTTTACTTAATTAATAGTTATTGGATCTTAAGGAAGCAAAAAGGAATTAAAACATGATGTTTATGAAGGAGAAATAACAATATAATAAAAAGTGGGACAGAGAGTGGCACAGAATGTGGGACAGAAGATCCGTTGCGCGATTGTCTCATTCATCTTCACTGTCGAATCACGAGGGATTGACATTTGTCACAAAATTACACCGTTTAGTTTAGGCGAACGCAAGAAGCCACTACTGGCTGGAAGGAGGCATCTTCTCTCCTTTATAAAAGAAAGAAAGAACAAACAAAGACGTTCGATATGAATTGCTTCCTTTTATTTTATTCTTTCCCCCAATGATAAGCCGGTTGAGCAGAATAAATCAAGTTTTTAGTAATTTTTTTAGTTGAGTAATTGATATTTTATTAAACGGTTACTCGTATGGTAATTTCTAATTGTTCAAACATTATCAGCCATAGACAGGCGGCTACTTGTTAAATATAAATTACCAACTTGTTAGGGTAGTTGTTAGTTTCTTGTTCTTCTTCCGTTTGAGATATTAAAGAAATTATTGTCAGTAATTACGTTTATTCATCTCTTCTCTCCCATGTATTTCTTGTGTGATTATTTTCTCCCATTAATTCTACAGCCTTGCACGTTAATAATATTATAACTCATAAAAAATGTCATGTTAGGCATCAACTGTATATTGATGAGGTGAGTTCTTCACTCAGGGAGCTGCTGACAAATCAGTGAAAATGAATATTAAAGAAAGAAAAGAACCAAAAAAAAAAAAAACAGTTTTGGACATTTTAAAAATGAATTTAATGATTCTTTCTACAAATGAGTGAAAATGAATATTAAAGAAAGAAAAGAACCAAAAAAAAACAGTTTTGGACATTTTAAAAATGAATTTAATGATTCGAAAGAAAGAATGCAAATGAGAAGTTTCGAACTCGAATCATTTCCCTTATATTAACAAACAAAAAGGGCAAAGACTATCCTGTCTTAGTGGCGTACAATTTGGTTATCCCTTGTTTCTTTTGTATGGAAAAGTCAAGGTGCTACCAATTTCTAGATTCTCTATTTCCAAATACAGTTGGATTTCGATTTCCCAAATATTGTTTGGATAGGGTATTATTTGAAATATTATTTGGAATAATTACTGTAGCACTTTTTGTGATGTGATGTATGTGAGATAAAAAATTGTATTGAAAATTATAATGATGATGTCAGCAAATATATTTGACCAAATAATCTACAAGATGTCGTGTTGCCCTAAGAACTTGTGATTTACTCTTTATCATCAAGTAATAATTGAGTTACACCTAATATATGCCACCTACTAGAAGTGGCAAAATGGATTCATATCCACCAATCCATCCATATAAACCAACCTTAAATGGATTTGGATGATCCATATAAATTCAATGGTTTTAAATGGATAACCATTTAAATCCAATTATATTGGTGGATTTAAATGGATTATCCATCTTATCCATATACATCCATTTAACTTAAAAAATAGAAAACACATTTATAAAAATGTGAAATAAAATCTTGTGGGATCATCTATTCTTTTCTTCGTAATTTTCTCATATGTCAAATTAATTTTGTAGGCCCACCTATTCTTTCCTTCATAACTTTCTCACATTCTAAGTTGCCAATAACATTAATTGCATTTTATTTGCTTCTAGTTCCTAGACTTCTTCCATCCTTTTCAAAATTATATTTTAGTCTCTACTCTTGTTTTTTTTTTAATTAAACTCTCATGTAGTAATGATTGCAAACATTTATATTCTTAAATAAAGAAAAAGCGAGAATGCATCATGCAGTGTCAAAATATTTTTTTTTAATTCTTTTATTTATAAAAAGAATTTTTCTAACGAGTGTTCCCGCAACATTGGTTAAGATATGTAAATGACACCTTTTTTTTTTCTTCCCAAATTCTCATACTTGCAATCCCTCTCCCCTTATCACCCAACCCAATTATCCAAAAAAAAAAAAAAAGACACCTAATTTACTAAGTAATATAAGGTAGCTTGTATATCAATGGTATAATAAGGAGTTTCATACATTTTTAGGTACTACGTTCACATGTGATGAAAATATTTTACTTGTCAAATAACATAAGATTTCGGATTAGAATTCACTTTTATTCAAGACATCACTCTTGAACAGGAGTGCAAAAAATTGGAAACGTAAACTTCTTTTCACTGTAAAGCCATATTCAATTCATTCAAAAGTTATAAAAATGTAGCCAAGTTCTTAATTGTTCATTACTTTTCAAAATGATACTTAAAGTAATGACAAAAGGTTAAATTGACTACAATAGTTAAATTTTCTTGGAACTAAACTAATTTTATGAAGAACTGAAATAGAGTAGTAGTACAAGCATTTGTTATTACCAAAAGGTTTTAGGTGATTTAAGGATAGAACTTTGGGGATCTATATTTTTTGGGAAAAAACATTTGAATCTTAAATTTAGAATTTGGGAGAGTAAATGGATAAATGGATGGATCATGGTTTACACTATCCATTTAAATGACATCCATTTAGATCCATTTATTAAATGGTTTTAATTGGATTGGATCAATTTGATCCACTATCCATTTAACTAAAACCATTTATCAACCATTTATCCATTTTGCCACTTCTACCACCTACCATACATTAATGGAACATGTGAAGAATCACAGAGCAAACAGACAGTGTAATGGATGGAAAAAGATGTGTAATTAGATTAAGTGCTAAGATGTTTGTCAAGTCAACAACAAATGAGTTATGGTTTAAAAAAACATGTATGATTAGATTAAGTGCTAAGATGTTTGTCAAGTCAACAACAAATGAGCTACTTCTTGCACCAAAGATGATCAAGACAGCCATTAGTACCCCCCCCCCCCCCGGCCCCAAAAGAAAAATCCTCTAGCAATAGAACCAACACATTCTTTAGAAAATCAACATATCATTTACAGCTAGAATCTGTGACGTTTAACAGAAGGAAGTGTTTCGGCCTTTATTCCCATGAGTGGATGCATGGGTGATCAATTAGCATCCATTGCTTATCGATTGCCTTTAATGAACATTTTTCTTATAATGGACGTGTATGTAAACTGAGGGTCGCACTGATCAGATAACTGTAGATCATGATCAGTGATTTTTATAACGTAGTGCACTGGAATTTCACGATTGCGAAAAAGTTGGTATAGATGATACAAATCCAAGGCGCTGAACGATATTGGTGAATCCGATAGAGAAGGGAAAAAACAATCTTTAATGAACAATTTAGAGAAAGAAGGAAAAAAATACAAAACACCACTACAAAACGATGGAAAAAATATGAATATCCATTTGTCTCCTTGAAATTATCTCTTTGGTATATGTGGCTGTAGCTGACTAGCTGTGGCTGGCCAATTGCGCCAACTGTTTCTGCGAAATGAAGAAATCCAGGAATTATACCCAAATACTACTGCTATACCAATGATTTTCTTGCTTCCTCCCTTTCGATTAACTCTTGCAAGAAGTCATTCCAGGTGTCAATAGGTCCAGGCAAACACCAATGCACGCAATCATTAGCCATTTTCTCATTTGGCCAGTGGCCATATTTGCTTGGGTGACCATCCGGTCTTAGCAACATGGGTTGTGTTGCATCCAGCAACCTAAATTTCAAACCCCTCTTGCTTCCCTCTTCTTGTGCGATTCTGAGTTCCCGCCGTTGAATCTCGTACATTTCTACCATGTAGTCCTCCAAGACAGCCTCATTCCTCTTATAAGGCATCGTTCTCACACAGTCTCCACCTTTGTCCCAAGATCCACCTTCGAAGTGTGACGGGGTAATGGTCCTGAGGAATGTCACGCCCTTAAAATTTGCTAAGCTGTTAATGGCTCTGAAAGCAGTTCTGAAAGCTCTTTCATAGCTAAAGTTCATTCTCAAGCGAGCAACATTGTCCAGTTGACAGGCGAGGCAGCCAATCAGAGTGCGATTTTCATAGAAAATGGTTGGCCGGAAGAACCATTGGCCAGCTGAAATAACAATGTAGTCGTACCCTTCAACCTTGGTTGTCCAGTCCTCGTCAAACTCATCTAGATATAGATTGAAGGGGCGGGTGACGTCGTTGGGATCAGTTTTTTCTGACCTTACCAGATACGGAGCTGAAAAGATGGAAATATTGAAGTTATAATCCTTGTATACCCAATGCTGGTTCTCATCATTCCCAGTAGAAACATCCAGAGGATCAAGAACCTGGATATACACGAAAAGATGTTTAATCCCAACTTCCACAGAGCATAAACTAACGATGTTTTCCAGTTGGTTGGTTGATTAGCCAGGTATTTTCTTTGGGTTGAATTGTGTGAATGATATATTCTCAATGTTTACTCTGTCTCAGTCTTGGTAGAAGAAATCAATTCGAGCTTTTACTAGAAACAATCTGCCATCTAGACGATAGCCATCATCATCTCGAAAGTGCGTATTTCCTATTTACCATATTAGATGTAAAAAGAGATTATATAATCTTTCCGTTTCTTTTTGATATATAATCAGAGTTATCAAACTTAGAATACTGAAGTGGATGGTCGACATTTATAAATCCTGCCTTGCTAGCCTGACCCAGATTTGTAGTTCAGATCATTTACGCAGGTGGTTCATTACAGCTCCTAGATGTCATCCTGGCAAAATTAAGAAGAAAAATCCATGGACTAAGGCAGCCAAATGTCTTGTATGGATAAGCTTCTAAAATGTCAGAAGCCAGAAAAGGGATACTAGCCAAGTCACCATATGTGATTTTACTAGAAGATCCTAAACTCCTCAGCCATTCAATTTGTTTCAAAAACCCAAAATTAACCGGCAACTGCCTATCAAAGCCGCAACTTCCCAAGGAAATGCAATAAAAATCTCCAACAGTAGGTGGTGCCGATTACCTTAACCGTTTTCACCGGACCAAAGGAATGCGACGAATATTCACTTTGAAGTCTTAATTAAACCGTGTTGAAACATTCAAAACCATTTGGGTGCCAGAACATGAGACATCGTCACCTGACAAGGATTAGGGACAACTACCAGGCCAAATGGACTTTAAATTCTAATGACCTCTTTCCGTTGAGATTAGCAGAAATGGCGACAGAAAAAGTTCTACTCATACTGAAAACAGTGAGGACCATTGGTTAAATAAAGACTAATTAAGAAGATCAGAGATCGTAATAGTGAACGGGTTGGGGAGGACTTAATTACCCTGGACAAGAGACAGATCAATGACTGCATATGGTTCCTTGCGACAGAGTCTCCAATGAAGGCAATGGACTTTCCTCGGACCAGCTCCAAGAAATGGTTGGGATCGAAGATTGGCAGCACGCACCCGTCTGGTTTCCACCTCCATTTCAAGAAACCCGTGTCGGGTCTTGCGTATTTCAAGCAATTCTGATGGTCTTGAATCCTATAACAGGTGGCGTTGGTATAATATGGCGCCTCTGGGTTGGGAACCCATTCCCCTGAAAACAAATCACAGTAGTTTTCTTGAGTAGTACCTGTTGGATTCTGGGAATTTGTCCTGTTGTAACTATGATCAATCTGAGCAGGAGAGCTTGGGCTTGGGATTGATGAGGACCTGGTGCTGCCGGCAGCTGCTGTTTCTTGTGCTGCTTTGTGGCTTCCGGGCTCATCGCCGCCTAGAATTTCTTTGGACTTTGTTGTATCATTAGATTCCGGCCATTCGGGATCTTTAGGCCTCCTTATCGTTGACTCCTCGAGAGAAGGGGTTGCTTCAGATATTTCGCCGAGCTTGTACCAGAATGAAGGAGGAGAATACACAGAAATGACAAGAGACAAAAGAACAGTTATGGCGATGAGGAAAGTGGCTACTTTAGGTATCCTTCTTAGCTTTAGCTGTAAGGAAAGCTCACCGGCTTGGCGTTTCATAACTTCAATGATGATAACACAACAGGAGGGGGGAAAATAAACGGTGCGACTCAACTTTTCCAAATATTGACTTTTCCTTTCCCCAATAAAGAGAAGGATTGGGAACAGAAGGAAGGCTGCAGCGGTACAGGGGATTAAAGGAATACCTGCATGAAAACGACCAGCATGCTCTCTAACTAAGAACCTCAATCTGCTCAAAAAAAAAAATTACAAACTTCAGTGAGACAGCACCACTAAAATTAAAGCCCTTCACTCGTACATGCTACAAAAGCAACAATTTGTCTTGCCATATATTAAATCAAGCCTAATAATTATAATAGTTTCTATATTATATTATTGTTTAGCAGGTTTTAGGTCAAATTAAGTTTTTAGTAATTTTATATTTAGTAATTGATTATTATATTAAGTAATTACTTACTTATTAAATTTGTTTCTTATTTATCAATTCATGTTGAATATATATATATAATTCATGTTTCTTATTTATCAATTCATGTTGAATATATATATGTGTGTGTGTATATAATGTGTTTAAGTATTGTTTTCGGTTGAAAAGAGTAAAAGTGTTTTGATTGTTGTAAAGATATTTATTTATGTCGAGATCATGATTAATAAACTTCTCCGAGAGAGGAAGGATTGGGTTGAGTGGTAAAAAGAAAAAAAAAAAAAAGACCTCTTTTCTCACATATGTTTATATGCATTAAATATCCTCTGCCGCTGCAAGAACAGACATGTTGAAGCTTGAAACTCAAAACCATCCCCGTTTAGTCAAAGATGAAATTAGTGTGGCCATTTAATCCGCGGTTCCCAAGTACTACTCCAGCTTAAAATATGACTGCAAGTAAATACTACTACTACTAATAAAAATTTTGTCTACTTACTGCATACACATATTAATTGCCTGGCGGCTCAAAAGTTAAACCCGCAGGATTCAAGAATGGAAAGAAAAAAATTATAATTTTAGTGCAGCGTATCAAAGAATGGTTGTGCAGCAAATAATTTTACTGTAGCATAACCAGAGTAGTTAATCACCGCATGTCGTATGGAATAAGAGGTTATTACTTAATGTCGTCGTTTTCCTTAAATTCATATGGGTGCGTAATATACCATATGATCCGATGGTTCCAGTCAATTTTCCGTACCCTGTTCGATTACCCCAGAATAGATTAGAGTAGAAGTACTGAAGTAGATATAAATAATAACAATTGAACAAATATATATATCAAAGAATGGATGTTCACCATCCATATGGCATTTCACAAGTTCAGGTTCCTGTTACTATTATGATTTATGATTTCAAAGGTAACCCAAAAAAAAAATGTATACATTGAATACAGACAATCCACAACCTTCCATTTATCGAACTCAACAGAATTCAACGGGCGAACGTGCCTAGAAAAGTTCGACTAGAATTTCTTTGTATCCGCACGTGCGTGCGCCTGTTTTAAGTTTTGCTGTCCTTGTAATTAGAAAGGTAAGAAAGAATAGGTAAAGCTTCTTCTCCAAGTCAAAACAAAACCATTTTTGCGGCGCGGCTCAACCATTCATTCATAACTGATTGGATTAGTTAAGCCTCGTATAATGGCCAAATCCGTATATAGTTTCCAAGATCTCACCATAGCGATGTATCGACAAGCTTCGTTGGCAGATCAAATTCGAAGGGGCAAAAGAAAAAGGACAGGATACACCTAAAGCGATGCGGCGCCCCAGGAAGAAGTTGAATCGAGCAAAAAAATAGTAATCAATCGACTAAGCAGCTGCGGAGTGGGGGAAACAGCTAGCCCAGTCTCGCAGGAACAGGTCCGATGCTCAATGGCCGCCAATCCATCCAACAAGTCCAATGCACGAACGCCGGCCTATGCAGCCTGTTTTATTCTATGAAAGCCCTCTGGGGAGGCCTAGGTATAAGTATCCTGCCGCTTGATCAGAGGAAGCCCAATCTCTCTCTCTCTCTCTCCAACTTGTATAAATAATAATCTTTCTGCACTCATAATTAACAAATAGGAGTATGCAAAATCATCCATATTTGAAAATTAGAAGGGCTGCAAAAGGTGTAATTAAAAGTTACAGACAATTACGAACCTCTGAATCTACACACACAATTACATACGACTCCAAACCTATATAGACAACTCTGAACTACTAGTTTTCCTATAACTATTATTCTATCTCTTGATTCCTATAATTTAGGTATTTTCACTCTCAATTCTACCCCATGTTCTGTAAGCATTTTGACAAATCTTTAAATACCAAGCAATATAAAACAAGAATTAGGAGAGTTTTAATATGTCCTTTGACTTATCAATGCTGCTGGAATCCGTCAACTAATAACGGCATTATTCAATGTATATATACATCAGATTGCCAAATTCAGAGAAAGAGAAAGGAAAAGGGGAACCACCTACGGCTTAAAAAGTAAAGATAAATGAAAGCATTGAACATAAAATCGAAAAGAATCCATACAGGAGGTGACCAGCTTTTGAGACCTCAAACCTTACACATCTTGAATTCAAATATCCCTTCTTCTTTTTTTTCCCGGCTTTTTAAACCTACCCTGTCTGCTTGACCCCCAAAAAAAAAAAAATTCATACAGCTTCTGGCGGCATGGCTTTTGTCAATTTGTGCTCCGTAATGAATTCAATGACTGTAAGCAGTTTTTTCTTCTTCAAATCTTTCGATAATCAAATGTCATTTCATTCGGCGACCGACAGAATACGACTAATTAGGTAACTGGTTTGTCTGATTCCTCCCTCCTTAATAACTCTAACAAAACATCATTCCACGAGTCGATCGGTCCAGGCAAACACCAATGCACACAATCTCTGGGCAACTCCAACTTCTGATCTGGTAAATGGCCATACACGCTGGGGTGACCATCCGGTCTCAGCAGCATAGCTTTCGTTGCATCAAATAACCTAAGCCTCAATCCTCGTTTCCTTCCTTCTTCCTGCGCAATTCTAAGTTCCTCTAATTGGATCTTGTACAACTCTAAATTATATCCCTCTAAGACGGCTTCATTTCTCTTGTAAGGCCTGGTCCTAGGACAGTTTCCGCCGCTATCCCAAGTTCCATTTTCGAAGTGTGACGGAGCAAAGGTCCTCAGAAATATTACACCCTTGAAATTTTGCAGACTATTAATGGCTCCAAATGCTGTTCTGAAAGCCCTTTGATAGCTAAAATATGTTGTCAAGCGAGTGACATTCTCCTGTGGACAATATTGGCAGCCGACCAAATTGCCCTTTTCGTAGAACATGGTTGGTCGGAAGAACCAGTGGCCAGCGTTGATGATAACGTAGTCATATTCTTCAATTTTGGTTGTCCAATTTTCATCAAACTCGTCAAGATATAGGCTAAAAGAACGGGTCCTGTCCTTGGGACCAGTTATCTCAACTGACCTTACCAAATAAGGAGCCCAAAAGATTGACATTCTAAAATTGTATCCTTGGTACTCCCATTGTCTGTTCTCATCGGTTGAATTTGAAATTTCTTGAGGATAAAGCACCTGGAAATAGCGTGAAAAGATTTAATTTCTCCATCTGATCATAAGGAGAGAAATTAATTTACACAAAATCAAATGGGACAACAATAAGCTTCTCCTACACCCCCACAATACCCTCCCCCCCCCCTCTCCCTTTAACAAAAAAAAAAAAGGCTTCCTTTTTAGGGTGTGTCTGTGTAACGTACTACATCCTACTTGTAGTGTACTATGATAGCAATGATTTCTTTGATGTATGAAATTAGGTCGCACTTCAGGTTCAACATTAATTAGGGTTTCAGTACTGATATGCCAAAGGTGACATTAATGCATTTAATCTCAGTCGCAAAAGGATTCAAGGAAACCAGTAACAACCGATCAAATATTTTGCTTGGTGTCCATCAATCATCGTAAAGCATCACAATCCTATTTTTTCCTCCCTACAGATACAATCTTCTGATATCAATGAAAACAACAATGTAACAATGAGGTGACAGTGGTCATCGTGGACAATAATTTAGATCTCGGACAATATGTTGAATTAGCAAATATTTTTAGAGTTGACAGTGAACTTACCCTGGACAAGAGACACATCAATGACTGCAAGTGATTTCTTGCCACAGAGTCTCCGACAAAGGCAATAGACTTTCCCCTGACGAGTTCCAAGAATTGGTGTGGGTCGAATATAGGCAGTTCACAGCCATCTGGTTTCCATCTCCATTTCAAGAACTCTATGTCAGGCCTTCCATATTTCATGCAATTCTGATGTTCTTGAATTCCATAACAAGAGTTGGTATAGTACGGTGCCTCAGGGTTCGGAACCCACTCCCCTGAGAATAAGTCACAGTATTCTTCTTCTTGTGATCCCTGTGCTTCTATTTCTGCTGATTTTGTAACCTCAACTTGCTCTGCTTTTAGGCTTGGTGGCTCCTCCTCATCCTCTTTTGTTACTTTTCGGTCCTCTACCCCACTTTCTCTGTGGTTACAGGGCTCAGAACCATCATGTTCATTACGACATGCCTCCAAAATGACACCCGAAGGAGCAGTTGACTTTACTGGTTCCTCCGCTGAATCAAACTCAGAAGGAAGTTTGGATGCTTTCTTCGTATTGAATTGTGTTGAAGGGGAATAAATGGAGATAGCTGATAACAGAATAGTTAGGGCTACAACTAAGGCTATCTTTGGTATTTTTCTTCTAGTTTGATGTTTCCTTAGTGAATGCTCAATGGCTTGGAACTTCATTTTTAAGGCCTTGAAGGAAAACTAATTAAGCCAGAGTAAGAGAGAATGAGGATGAAGGAGCCACCAAGGAATTACACACAGTAGTAGATCAGAAAGAACTTGTGGCCAACGTTCCTCTCGAGTTTTTAACAATGGCACGTATTGGAAGTTCCTTCACAAAACCAAATCCAAATAATAAAACGCGTATTAGCAGGAGACTTGGAGGTTTTTCTTATGCAGAGCATGTGAGACATAAGGAGCGGAAAACAGAGCAATGCATGCAATTCATACTATTTTCTCTGCTTAAACCCAGAAACAACAGTAATACTTAATCTTAGTAATGCAAGTTCTGCATTGCCTTGGCACAGTTGTGTATAGATTAATATTTTAAAGTTGAAACTAGGAAATAACAAAGAATGCCTCATATGTAGTCAATTCAGATCTGAATAAAAAGTCGGAAATTGTGGACTATGGACTATGAAGCCATCATGTTCTAAAGTTATCCAACAGTTGATGTTACTGCAGCAGGGCTACTGAAAGTATCAACAGCCTAAGCATCAAAACGTACAAAGTTAAGACCATGATTGCTGCAATTTCAACGACTCCTCTTTTTCTCTTAACTTTGCTTTTTCAATAACATCTTGAACAACTCATTAAACAAGCTTTAGGTATCTTTTAAATGCTGAAACATGATGAAAAGGTTAGCTAAATGACCTATGTGTTCATTGCAAAACATGGAAGAATTTAATGGTTAGAGTTAAATTCCAATTATCACTAGCATAACCAGTTTGATGGTGAGAATATAACCGTATGAACAAGGAGCCAACTGAATCTGTCAGCAAATCAAGTTAGAATAACAGTCTTTAGATGCTATTCGTTAGTAACAGTAGTTATGCAAGATGAGCAAAGATTAATTCCAACTAGCATGTCAATACTTGGGTTGGACTCTAGAGAGAACAACTTCTTAACGTGTTTCCACAGCCATATTGTCGGACAAACCTTCTTTATGACTTGTGGTGGTAAGCATGCGCCCCTTATCTTCACGCCAACCAATAAGTATGAGTTTATTCATGTGAATCTTTCAAATGATTCACAGAGTTTCATCTTTGAAATACAAGTAGTTAAAAGATCATTATCTTGGAATTTTATGTTCAATTTTCTCAAGAAAAAATATACCTTATTTCAATTTTGTCCATAAAACGACCAAAGTCAATATGTATTCCAATTCCAAGTTGACGACCAGAGTCTTACTTATACATTATACAACCAAATCAATAACGAATTACTAGCAGTTAAACTCAAATTATTACAAGTATGACAAAACGAATCGACCTAAACGAATTAAGTGTATACTGACAAGTCCAAATCCTCATTAAAATGCGGTACTGCCGTTGTTTTCTAAGTGTCAATCATGCAGCATGGTCGTAGTTTGGACGGTCCATTCAGTTTAGTCATCAGTCATCAAAGAAGGCAACAAATACTACCAAGCAGGAGTTATGCTCTACATTATCTCATGCACCAGTATACCGCATAAAAATCATGATAACAGACATGACACTGGCGATGTATATGATAATCAAGAAAATTACTACTCAATTAATTAACAGCATACAAAAGTGTCAGACCTAATCAGCAAAAAATGGAGTTACCTCCAAACTTCTCCTGAGCATTCTGCCTTCGGACCAGAATTCGTGCGATAAAGAGAGTCAATCGTGTATAGAGATGCACAGCTGAGCAAGCTGTCATGTACTATGAAACTGTCAAGGGATGGAGAGGCAGAATGGCAGATCCAGTTTAAAGAGAAGTGAAGCTGGGCTGTGGCAGATTAGAGGAGAATTAGGACCCGCGGCAGCTTGTCAAGCAGAAACCGGCAGTAGAGTGGGTAATGGGGGAGGAGAGGAAGAAAAAGTCCGGAAGGAAGAGGAGAAGAGCTCTGTACGAAGATGGTGATGAACTTTGGCTCTTAGCTTGCCTTGGTACTTGGCCCGGGTTCGGTGGTTTGTTCGAATGTGGGGCCATGGTACAAATGCATGTGTCTGCTCCCACGACATCAGTGCACGACGCTTACCCATATATATAACTAATTGTAAGCATTACAACTACCAATGTAACCATTAGTATGCGAATAAATTAAGAAATTAAAGTTTGCTTGACAATAAAAATTTTATATAAAATTCATTTATCATAAATATAAAATATTACTCCACGTATTTTTTTATTGCACGCAAATCAAATCGAATCAAAATACAACTTGCAATGCAGGTATAAATAATATGAATATATCTTAATATCTAGATTTATTTAGTTTGTTTAAATATATTGCATGGTACAATTCTTACTAACTATTGTAGGAGATTCTAATCCAAAATTGCTTTAGTCACCTACAATACATAACGGTAGAGTTTTGGATCTGGTGTAAACATTTCTTTGTTTTGTCGTCATTTTTAAAATTTTCAATTTCACCCTTATAATTATATGTAATTATATCAGTCGTGATTGCATATCATGCTAACTAACATAACTAAAGTTAAACCTCACCCTTACTGTGTAGGCATATGTCACCTACATAACTGCCCATAAAACATTATTTTAATCATCAAGTTAATTAAAATTTTATTAAAAAAACTATTAAAAATCAAACTTTTTTGTTTATAAAAGTTTTTTACTAAATTCTTCCGAATAAAAAAGCTAATGTTTCTATTTTTCCAAGACGGTAAAGCTAATGTTTCTAAGCCATACAAACATGGTGTGTGCCCTTGCCTCCTTGGCACTTGTTTGAAACTAGGTGCTGGCTACTTTGGCAACGATGATTCAGCTCAACTTGAAAGTTTCCAGCTCAAGCTGTTCGAACAAGTAAACGAGTTTCTACGTACCCCACAATCTCAAGTATATTACTATTTCCCCATTTTTAGTTTTATTGCATATAACTTTATAAAAAAAAGGGGGCAGTAAAAGTTACCAAAAGCAACTAACTGACGAGGATTGTGGGGTATTTACTTTGGATTTAAGGTTCATGGAGGTATCCTCCTGTCATCATTTGATTGGATGGGTATTCCTCGTGAGTCCTTTAGATTTCTTTCGGATTGGTTTGCTGATGTTTGCTGCGTGTCTCTCATTGTGTTGGGTGTGTGTGTAATATTTCATTTCGAAAAAAAAAAAAGACGAGGACAACATATATTAAATAAGGATATTTTAGAGAAATTAAAAAATAACTATATTTTTCAATTGAAAAATAGACTATAATTTGAAACAAATAAAAAAAATAGAACTATCAAAATTGGACGGGGGAGTAGTTGCCAAATGTTCAAACTTTCTCCTCTTAAGGTCTTGCGTTTTAAGCATACTTTCTTTAAAAGTGAAATTTCAAACATTTGGAGCTGTTGTCAATTACTGCTCTCTTATACATTACGAAGGGAAATCATTTAATTCATAAGAATACATTACGAAGGGAAATAATTAAATTCATAATATTCTTTTAAGACTGGCCCACTCGTCCTTTCTATGACGATCTCTTCTGGTTGGTTTTTTGTCTGCATCGAACCAGAGGTCCGGGTGAACAGTAAAACCCCAACATAATTCCATTATTGCTTTCACTCAATGCATGGAAAGCAGTTCCCTACCACGTGCTTTCTATCAGCCCATTGTCCCCGTCTAGATGGCGACATGTTCTCTGCCGGATCCATATGTAGTTAAATCAGATTTTTGTTTTATATAATATTGAATATGTTACTCCGGGATTAGCTATTTTTGAGGGTATTTTAGAAATATTTTACTGTAATAATATAATTGAAAAGCTTTTACTGTAAATAAGGCTATTTTTTATGTTATTTTTGGGTGTTTTTTAAGGTTATTTTTTTATGTTTTTTGATGTTTTTGAAGTTGTCTAAATTCTAAACCATAGAACGGATTCCAGTGCACCTTCTGGATTTAGGTGGTCTGCTATATCAAACACAAACGCCCTAAATTACCTCATTTAGATGCCAAACTTTATGAGTCCTATTGAAGCAATTTCAATTTTTCCTGCTAAACAGTACGAACAAGGCCACGCTCTTTTTTGAAAAAAGGCTGGACCAGCCAACAAGTCAGTTTTTTAGCTACTTTAAACGAGATCTTGGGTTTTTTTTTTCCCTTTCCCCCTCTCCCTGACAAAGATCCTTCACTAAAGTTTGCTATAAGGAATACAAAACTTTAGGACTACTAAGTGCTTAATTAGCACGAGTAAAACTTCTGTTGCCTCAAATTCCATTCCACGGCGACCACGTAATACAAAGAGAAGGAAAAAATCAGGGACACGTTTGAATTGCATTTTTTTGAATTTTTTTTGTAAAAAAATTATTATAATAATTTAATATATATAATATAAAAAAATGATTGCGAAATATATTCACGAAAAATACAGCAATTTTTTAATTTTTTCCAAACAAGGCCTTATCACAAAGATCACCGACAGATCGTTCCTGCACTTTATTTAATGGTAATTGGCAGGTCTGTTTTTGGAAGCCTCCTCCTGCGTGCGCTTGGATGTTAGAAGATGAGCTTTAAGGACGAATAAAACCAAAGGTAGGCCCCTGAGATTATGCCAAATTGCGGCCTATCCAGCTGTGGCGTCCGGTTTGGTTGGGGCCAGAGGGGACTTTCTCTAAATCTCGTTTAGTTTTTTCTTTTCACCGGGCCAAGTTGGTTGGAGGGGGGCTCTAACCCCTTAATTCTCATAATTGAATTGAATTTTGCTAGACAACGAAAGCACAACAGTTTAGTGGATATTCCCAATCTTAACGAAAAACTTCCTGTTCCCGCAAGGGTTCGAGTCCATGGTTATCGTATTCAGAGGGATAGAGCCTCCCCTCTCGAGTCGGTGGGGAATTAGTCAGATCCGATTTATCCGATGGCCCGAATATCCCCTCAATCAGACCCAAAAAAAAAAAAAATTTCCTATTCATTCTTCCCCGTGACACGATGAAGTAAAAGATATGTGAATTGATAAATTTTTTGTCTCTCATCCGGATCATGAATCTGATAGTAAACCATACACAATCAGGCCAACGTACACGAATCAGAAAAGAAAATTGGGTATTTACGGTATTTTACTTTTATCAACTTCTCATGGTTTGTGATTAACACATTTGCAAGGTCCGATGTTGTATAGGAGGGGAGAGATAGATATACACGCTAAAAAATGTATAACGGGAGATTGCTATATACAACACAAACATACATATGTGTAGTAGAAGAGGAATAAATAACACATTATTAATGACACACAATAATAATACTCTTAATTTTTTTATTCTTCTCAACTGAATATAATAATTAAATGCCTTATATAACCTTGTATATAAGTCAAAATAACTGGATGAATAAAGAACGACCATCTAGTACAATTTTCAACTATTATACAATAAATAGAAACATCTAAATAAGTAATATTCTTCTGGAAAAGTAATTATCTAATTTAATATTCAATTATTACATAACAAATAAAAATATCTAAAAAAATATTCGGCTTTATATATATATATATATATAATGTGACAGCGCTATGTATTCCATGCTAATAACTTTTAAGATGACATGATGGATGCACCAAATTCCCAAAAGCTTGCGAGTTAATCATTAGGAACATTTAAACGTTTTAGAGATTGGGAGGATTCACGGGTATTTCCTCGGTGCCCTTTTGTTTAAACTATTTTTGGTTGAAATTATTACTCTATATAACAGTAGTGTCACGTAGAATATAGCTTAACTACTGAAGCAGCTCGACTCCTCGCGTCCTCATTGCAATAGGATCTGCGGCCTCACAATTTCTAGCTGGTTTCTATATATATATATATATGTATATATATATATATGTGTGTAAGAGAAAAGAAATCCCATCAAGCACAATAATTTATCCGGCCACCAGAATATTTGAAGAACCATGAAAATGCACCCCTTTGCCAAATTCTCATTATCGTCGTCTGGCACTAGTAGCAGCAGTAGTAGACGCAATTTTGTGGACAAACCCAAGAACCGTCGTGCATGGCTTTTCGTTGCTCTCGTCTTTCCTATTCTCATCCTCCTAATGTTCACCAGTGCTCCGAGACAATATCTATCCATCCGTCGTCTGAAGCTACGTTTCCGAGCTCCGGCTGGTTCTGAGCAGTGCAAGTACGGCACGGTCTATGTATACGACCTTCCTCCATCCTTCAACAAGAAATTGTTAGACAACTGCCGCGCTATAGATCCGCAGAATTCACTTTGCGATGCTCTCTCTAACGATGGGTTTGGCCCGAAAGCCACCGATTTCCAGGGAATCATCCCCGAGGATCTTACTCCCGCGTGGTACGCCACTAGCATGTTTGCCGGTGAAGTTATTTATCATACCAGGATCTCCAATTACAAGTGCAGAACCTACGATCCAGATTCTGCAGCAGCTTTTTACATACCCTTTTATGCGGGATTAGCCACTGCCAAGTATCTGTACGCTAATCGCAGTACTGAGAGCGAGAGAGAATCGCAGGGCGAGAGCTTGGTCAAGTGGGTAACTGAGCAACCGTCTTGGAAGAGATCCAACGGCGCAGATCACTTTATTATGCTGGGCAGAGTATCTGGGGATTTCAGGCCTGGGGATCATCATATGGATGCAAAATCGGGGTCGAGCTTCGTTCTCATGCCTCCCATCAGACAGACGCTAAGGCTGGCACTTGAACGAAGCCCCTGGGACCGCTACGAGATTGGGGTGCCGTATCCTACGGGATTTCATCCCAGGTCCAACGCTGAGCTTGAGAAATGGTTGAAATTCGTGAGAACTCGCAACCGGTCCAAGCTCTTCACATTTGTGGGAGGGAAAGAAAAAAGGTTGAAGGATGACTTCAGGGGTTTGTTGGTGGACCAGTGCCGCGACGAGTCTGACAGGTGCACAGTTGTGGACTGTTCGGAGACTCCGTGTTCCGATGGAAGCCCGGCAATTCTTGAACCCTTCCTGGGCTCCAACTTCTGTTTGCAGCCCAGATCAGGTGATTCTTTCACGAGAAGATCCACATTTAATTGCATGCTGGCTGGTTCAATACCGGTTTTCTTCTGGAAAAGAAGCATCTTTGGTCAGTATGACTGGTTCCTGAGAGATGACCCCGAGCGGTTCTCGGTATTTATAGACGAGAACCAAGTGAGAAACGGGACAATTTCTATTAGGAAAGTGTTGGAGGGATATGGCATTGAAGAGATTCAGATGATGAGGGAAAGGGTCACTAATCTGATACCTAGGTTTCTTTATGTTATGCCCGGTGATGATGAATACGATGATGGTGGTGTGGGGAAGTATACCATGAGAGATGCAGTTGATATAGCTGTTGAAGGGGTGCTGCGACGATTCAAGGAGCTAAGATTAGTCGAGCGACAATGAGCGCAAACAAATTACCCGCCAAAGGCTCGAGACCTCAGTTCAAGGCCTCCAGTGGGTGATTCTTCTGGGGTCCTCGTTTACGTGGTTCAAGTTCAACAACAACAATTTTGCTATTCGGACCTCTAATAAGGTCCGGTTGATGAATTCACAGTACCAGTGTATTGCTAATTGATTAACGCTGGAAATTAATTGCTTGATTCAGAGGATCAGGCTTCATTAGTGTCGTAAGTATGCAAGTATTTATGTTGTCATCAAAAGTCAGTTTGTACTTGTGGATTAATTGAAGAAAAAATACCGTGATAAAAGAGTAAAATTTACTGTATGTAATAAGATGAAGGTATATTGATGATCTATTTGTATCCTCATAGGAATCGCAAATATTCAAACCGTTGAGTATCAGGTAAAACAACTATTATTTGCAGAGTTAGCTGCGGAACTTGGCTCCCTCTCAAGGCACCACTTACCGAAGTCGTCGGTAATGAAAGTTCCCACAAGTAAACAAAAATACTAGCGTGGTAGTGTCATAGTAATAGCTAGGAGCCAACCCATACGCAACTTCTAGAGCAGAGACGAGGGAAGAAATGCAGCCCTTAGCCAGATTCATAACATCTAGGCGGAATTTTCTCGACAAACCCAAGAACCGTCGTGCCTGGCTCTTAATTGCTTGATCCAGAGGATCAGGCTTCGTTAGTATCGTAAGTATGCAAGTATCTAAGTGGTCAACACAGTCAGCTTGTACTTTTGGATTAATTGAAGAAAAAAAATACCATGATAAAAGATTAAAATTTAGTGTATGTAATAAGATGAAGGTATATTCAATTTTGTTATAGCAGATGCAGCGGAACAGAAGAGCAAACAAGAATAGACAAGAACAATTTGGAGGAAATCAGATTTTATTAGGGTTGTAATCGGAATAGTTTACAGACTAAAATAAGGTGTGTATATATATACAACCAAACAGACTAGACCCAAAATAGACCCAAAACAAGACCCAAAATAAAACAGATACGGTAACTAATATATACCGTAAGCTTCGGGGGCGTTGCCCCCGAACTCCCACCGGGGGCAACGCTGCCCCTCGGGTCCCCAGCCGGGGCGTGTCGCCCCTTGGACCCCCGACTCGCTGACCGGACAGCGAGACTCCCGTACAGTTCAGCAGGGATTGAAGATCTAATTCAAGGCATCTCAACAAATTTGTATCCTCATAGGAAACACAAATATTCAAACCGTTGAACAAAATTGCTTCATAGGAGTCAAACACAAAAAAGGCAAAGAGAAAAGGATAATGGAAGAAACAAATGCATGCTAGAAGTTTATTGCTGTCGCAGTAATAAAATTTTTGGGAGTACGTTTTGTGGGGAGAATCCCAAATGAATTCCTCAACTACTCTAGGTATACCTATATGATGATTTTTTTGTTTCCTCCGGTTTGATTAATTCTTGTAAGAAGTCATTCCATGCGTCGATCGGACCAGGCAAACACCAATGCACGCAATCATTAGTCACTTTCTCAGTTGGCCAGTGACCGTATTTACTGGGGTGACCATCTGGTCTCAGCGACATAGCCTGCGTTACATCAAATAATCGAAACCTTAAACCCCATTTGCTCCCTTCTTCTTGAGCAATTCTAAGTTCCTTCAATTGTATTTTGTGCAGTTCTGAGTTATAATCCGCCAAGACAGTCTCATTCCTCTTGAAGGGCCTCGTTCTCACACAATCTCCACCTTGGTCCCAAACCCCACCTTCAAAGTGCGACGGGGCAATGGTCCTAAGGATTGTTACACCCTTGAAGTTTGCTAAGCTGATAACTGCTCTGAAAGCTGTCCTCAAAGCTCTTTCATAGCTAAAATTCATTGTGAACTGAGTAACACTGTCTTGTTTACAGGCCAGGCAGCCAATGAGGGTGCGATTTTCATAGAAATTGGTTGGCCTGAAGAACCATTGCCCAGCTGAGATGATAATGTAGTCATACGCTTGAACTTTTGTTGTCCAGCCATCATCAAACTCATCAAGATACAGATTGAAAGGGCGGGTTATGTCGTTGGGATCAGTTCTTTCTGACCTTACCAGATAGGGAGCCCAGAACATGGAAACGTTGAAGTTGTACTCCCTGTATACCCAGCGTCTATTTTCGTCATTAGCAGTTGAAACATCCAGAGGATAAAGAACCTGAAAATACACGGATAAAAATTATATATTCCATTTGCAGCACAACATTTTCATCTTTATTTCTTATTTTCCTTTTTGTAGGGAATATACGGTGGACTGATGTTCAAGAACTGCAAAAAAGGGTGGTAATTTGCCTCGGCCAGTTAACAATTACTGTCAATCATCCCATAATTCGTTTTCTCACTCCATCATATCTTCGTTTTTTCTTGCTTTAGGAAGCCATCAAATTGATTTAGGGAGTGGAAACACGGAATCAGTTGATCCTTTTTTTTTTTTTTTTTTTTTTGATACAGTGAGTTTTGTTTTCGTGTAAATCCTGCGCTGCTAACTTACCCATTTTGAAGGAAGATGAAATAAAAATAGGAAATATTTTGGGTTGGAGCACTAAGTTTTATGCTATTGCTCATAAAAGTTGTGCGCATCAAAGTTATAAGCACATTAAAAGTATAACTAATGCAAATCTTTAGTGAACGACGCAAGTTTTACAACAAAACGGATTAACTTAATCTCGTGTGATGAGGGCAAGCAAAATTAAATTCCTCAAAAGGTGGAGCTTTAAATTTGATCACATATAAGAAATTAAGCAAAAACAGAATGCATGGCAGAGCATAACCAATGCAGACTCATACGGCTGCTATTCTGTCTTGTCTTACTCAAGGAAGCCTGGACGACCATTCCTACCACACAAAGAAATTGTACAGATTGCAAGGGGATTTTTAAAACAAAATAAAATCAGCACGCATGGAGTAATGTGAGCCAAAATTTTAGATAATGCAAAGTATTTCACTAACAAATCAAACATGACTGAGCTAACATGATGAATGTGAAGATGGACTTTACCCTCGACAAGAGGCACATCAATGACAACATATGATTTCTTGCCAGAGAGTCTCCCACGAAGGCGATAGACTTTCCCCTAACCACTTCCAAAAACTGGTGCGGATCGAATATGGGCAGCTCGCATCCGTCTGGTTTCCACCTCCATTTCAAAAAGTTAGTATCGGGCCTTCCATATTTCATACAATTCTGATGATCGTAAATTCCATAACACGTGGAGTTGGTATAATACGGTGCCTCTGGGTTGGGAACCCATTCCCCTGTAAACAGGTCGCAGCTTTCTTTATCTCCCAATTTGCTATGGTCAATGCCGCCAGCAGGATTAGGAACTGGAGATACCCTCTTAGTTTGTTCCGGTGATCGTTGGATTGGAATTCTCGTTCTTCCCTCATTTTCGTCCCCTTGGCTTGGGCTTGGAGATGGAGCAGACCGCCTTTCAGAATTATTTCTATCCAATGTAGTCCGGGCAACTATCAAGTCACTCTTGATGGAGCTTGGTGGTTCGCTTGGCTCTGTTTCTGGTGAATTTGCAGCCTGAGGTTCATCATCTTTTTCAGGTCTCCTTATCGATTCCCTGAGAGAATCAGAAGAAGGGACCGCTTGAGGTACATTCCCAGGATTATATAGTAGTGAAGGAGAATATACGCAAATAATAGTAGCAACGGATAAAGCAATGCTTAAGGCTACAAGAGAGGCTACCTTGGGTGCCTTTCTTCGTTTTTGATGCGCTGGAAGATCAAACATTTGAAGATTCATTCAGGAGGCCTGGAAAGAAATCAAGCAAGAGCCAATGAGATCGAGGAATGGAGTGATCAGAATCACATATAATTTTGTGCTGAAGATCTAAAACATGAGGAATGAGGAATGAAAATATGAAATATAAGTCGGGGTGAAACAAGATCGAATCCTAGTCCAATACAATGGCACGATAAAATGTTTCTTCTTTGAGTATGACGATGGAACAACTCCGCAAATCCCATGAACCTCAGCGCATTGAGTTTCCAGTTTATATGCATGGTAAGATGCGAAAGTTAGAAAACTGCGCGGTGTAATTAATAGAAAGCAGCTTCCGAATGGTTTGACCATTTATAAACTACAACTGGACAAGCTGGATGCTTTTCGTTTCCATTCGATCGAGTAGCTTTCGAGGAATGGTTGTCAGTTTTTTTTTTTTTTTTTTTTTAAATGTTTAACGAACAAGTAGCTTTTCATGCAGAAAATAATCCCAATCACTTCTAAAATTTTATGTGGTCCAAGTGTGTGAGATAGTAGTAATTAAACGTTCCAAGTGTGTAATTAGACGTTCCATATGAATGTTTAATTGTGTTTAGAAATGTAAAATAAGTGCCTGTTTGATAACATAAAAAAGTGCTGAAACTGAATTCATTCAGACATTCAGATGTTGTGGGTGTTTGATAAATAAAAATTCACTTGCTGAACTTATTAAGTGGTGCTGAATTTATATGTATTTTTTTCAGCACAAGAATCGTAACTGAATGCTTAATTTGATAAGAGTCAAGAGATTTACTTCAACTACTTTATCTTATCTACCAAATATATTCTTGTTTGTTAATTACATTCAAAATCCTTATTTAATTAAACAATCTAATATTTCCTATTCAAAATCCTTATTTAATTAAACAAAACAACCTGATATTCTCTATTCAAAATTTTTTTTTAACAATAATATTTTTTTGCAGTAATTTTCATCCACAAACATTTATATTTTGATATTTTTTTTGTGCAGATAAATATTATTTATGTGATGCAGCTTATCCACACACACATGGCTTTATGACACCATATCGAAATATTAGATATTGGTTGTCTGATTTTCAAAATGCTTTTCGTCCAAGATCAAAAGAAGAACGCTTTAAACCAAGCACATGCAAGATTGAGAAATGTAATTGAACGTGCTTTTGGAATATTAAAAGCTCGTTTTTCCATTTTCAAAACGATGAAACCATACCCTTTTCCCACACACAGAAACATTGTCATTGTATGCATTGCTCTTCACAATCATTATCATTTTCATACCTAACAATTTTAAGTTAATTAAATCATAGGTTCTATTTCCTTTTTGGATTAAAAGATAGAAGGACAAAATTGTACAATTTAGCTTATTAAACATTAAGTTATGAATATTTATCAAACAGTATAAATAGATTCAGCATTAAGATTCAGACATTCATATATCTCTTTTCAGTGCTTAAAATTCAACAAATTAATTATTTCAGTATTCAGAATTCAGAGTTCAGAGTTCAGAATTCAGATTCAGTATTATCAAACGGAGCCTAAGTCTCTAGTGGTGCGTATCTTGCCAATTTTGTGAACATAGTCATTAAACTTGCCCCCTGGCCAACCCTCAGTTATCCCCCCAAAAAGCCCAAGCGACGGTGCAAGGAATTCATGTAGTTAACAATAATTTAGTACTCCTCCCTGACAAGCGCAACGGATCTTCTGTCCCATACCCTGTCTCACATCCTATCCCACTCCTTATAATTTCGCCAAGTGTCCCTTAATAAATCAAACCCTCAAATAACCCAACTCAGACCATAGTAAGTTAATTAATCGGTTAACCGGGCAAAGAAACATAAACCCATTCAATCTCTATAACCAAAACTGATTGAAATAAAAACATAATCTGAAATTCACGGTTGTTTCAAGAGGAAAAAAACCCTAAAACCCAGGAAATCTCTGTCCTCTCTTCATCATCTTCTCCATTCAAACAGAAAACTTCACGGATAATTCAGCGTCATGAATCAGCTTTGACGAAATATTCACGGATATGGTCCGACATGCCGAAAAGGGTTTGCACGAAGATGCATTGGCCTGAATTTCATGGATAAGGAATGGGTTACAAGAGGATCCCCCACTTGATGCTCTGAACGAGAAGATTGTGGTAAGTTTGATTGTTTGTTTTTGGTTTTCACAAATCCCCTCCTTTCTCCGCTTCCGAAGTTTTGTTTTTGGATGCAAAGTTAATTTAGCTTTTGTTGTTTGCGTCAAAGCTCATCAAATTACATGCTCTCAATGGGCAATTGGACGAAGCTCACCATCTGTTCGATCAAATGCCTAAAAGGAAGATGAATCAAACTGTTTATAGTTACTGCTATGTGCCTCTGGCCTTGAATGAATAACTTGAGCACAGGTGCTATCAGGGGGATCTGCTAAATCATCCCATGGTGACATAGGTTGAGGACTGTCAACTTCTACAATCCTTTTTGACCAAGAACTCTGCTGGAAGGAGATATTACAATCAATTGACGCTATAAACAAACTTGATCACGGGTATGTTTAAGAGTAATCACACATAAAGTGGACATTATGAATTAGTTTCCACAATGTTTTTAAGTTTTGCGGTGCACTTTATCACTCGAAGATGAACACAAACTCCCTAAATTACAAATGCATGATAAAGTATTTTTACTATTTCCATTTTGCAGTTGAAGACGCCAAACAAAATGAATTCGTCAAGGTCTTCTTGCAGTTGATGACGCCAGAGGCACATAGCAGTAACTGGGTGGGATATGCTACGATTTTTCCTTCCCTGTTTACAGTTATAAAGGTTTGATCCCGAAAACAAAAACATTTTCATTTCTTGAATTTGTTCTGTGTTGTCGAAAGTCGTCAGATTGGTTTTGGAGAAACCAAGAAAAATTCGTGTTAATGCATCTGAGACTATAGAAGCCTATATCATTCTGTGCAACCTTGATGGTGGACAAGAAGAGCAGGAGAGGAAAAGGTTCTTGCGTGAAGGAGGAGGAGGAGTGGGGTAAGGCAAAGCCATCAACTCTCAAGAATTTGCCGGTTTACAAGCTAAGGGAGGCTCTTGAGGAGGCTTCTGAAGATGGGTCATTGGCAAAATGACATGAAATTGATTCTGAGTCTTTGAATCAAGATGGCTGCTTGGGAAGGTCAAGATCTCTTGCAAGGCTTAATGCCCAGAAGGAATTTTTGAGGGCAACTGCTCTTTTGTCTAATAGGACATTTTGCACTGAAGAATCCATTCCTGATTTTAGTGAAGCCTTCAATAAGTTCTTGACTTTGTACCCAAAGTTCCAATGTTCAGAAACAATTGACCAATTGAGACTTGACTTTGTACGGGTTGTTTTCTTATTTTCAAATGCTACAGTATTGGGATTCATCTGCATTTAGCTTAAAGGAAATTACTGCTAATTTGAGCAATCATGTACTTCATGGGGGTGCAGAGGAAGGTACTGTGGAGCATGATATTGAAACCAAAATTATGGATTACTTCAACATTCCTGAGAATCTTTCTTGTACGTGTTTTTACTTTGGCACAAATCAAATACAGCAACTGTAATCACAGAAACAAAGAATATATGAACTCCTTGCCCTCAAGTATTATCTCCATATAATACGCAGAGCATCGCTGGCATAGTCCCCACAAAACTTTTAATTCTGCACAACTGAAAAGGCCAGAGAGTAAAGAATATTGAGTTCATATGGACCTTGAACTTTCCACTCTAAGAATCCTCAAACAAGGAACGTTTAGTACTTTTAGTTACCGACACAAGTTTCAGTCAACATCCACTGGCATTGGAAATTAAGACAATTTGTTGTATGCATCAAGAATCCAGAGCAGCTCAACTAATATATCTCATCTTCTACAGTTTAGTCAAAAGAACGTTTATTAACAAAAATTTAAACAAAAATATCAAGATCAATTGAAATATAAGCACAAAGTATTATTCCACTTAAAGGTCTAACTAATCCATGAATGCAATCCCACAGTTTCGTCCTCCATTTCTTCAGAAGCATCTTCATTCAATTTTCCCATTTTCAACAACTTGTTGATCAGAATCATCATTATTTTCAAGTTCTTGTGCCTACAAAAACGGACCCAAAGTTAGCAAATATATTGAATTATAATTGTAAATTATCAAACTAATATATATATGATTAAATAATTAATCAAGGTTTTTTCTTACTTGGACAAAACTTATTGATGCATGTTGTTGTGCTATTGAACTTGAAGACATCAAATCATAGCCTTAGTAGAAGTTAGGGTCCAACGTCTGCCAGAAAAATAAGAAATAAAAGATCACACATACAAACAAATAGCTATAAACTTGCAAAACTATAATACTAATGGTTGACATAATATCTACAAAAAGCATACTATTCACTTACTTGTAATAATTGTGTCATGTTCTTAGTATTTTGTCTATTGCAGATGTCTTCTATTGGAATTCCAAATTCCTGATATAATTAAAGAGAGACAACCACAAATCATGAGTTGGCAAATCATTCTCCATATCTTTCCAATCACAAAGGCGTAAAGCAACATAAAAAATCTATACCCCAAATTATATATGCAAAATTCTATTTAACACTTGAAAAATATGGATTGTACAAATATAAGGATGTTGAAATTCCTAATTATGAACCAACAAATGGAAGCTTTTTTTTGAGTAATTTAAATAATTTTTAAGAAAAAAATTGGTTGATCAAGAGAGCAAACCTCAATAACAGATATGTCCTTTCTTTACAAGCCTATGCACAGCAAACAGAAGGTTGGGCATATGATAGCGTAACAAGAAGCTTCTCCAGGAAATAAAGACGTGCAAGTTTTGGCACAATGTCTAGAATCTGCGTTCAATGTAAAAACAAAAGCATATTAAAATAAGAGCTGTATCATATTGTTCATGTACAGATCCTAAAAATTTCTCAAACTGGAATAAGACCAATACTATTCCTCCATCAATTTCAGCAAAGGAAGAACATTACGACCCTATTTGCATGAATACAAATTCCAAGAAAAAAGTTGCCATTTTTTTTCCTAAACAGCAGGTAGGAATAAAAAGAAAAAATGTCACCTTGCAAAGATCCAGAAAAAAGTGGAGAAGATCTTGAACAAAACCAACATATTCACATCTCTCTCAATTCTCTCCTCCCTAGCTGCAACTGAGAGCTTTTGCTAGTACCAAATAACAGGATCCCTTTCTAAAAATTTTTTCTTCCCAAGTCTCCTTTATCATTGTTATCTAACACCCAAAAATTCCCATCCCTGTTTACATCCTGGCTGGACCCTGATGCCACACCAAACAGCACACGACCCATGTTCACTTAAGGGCTCACAGTATGTGTTAGTAGCAATGAAAGCATATTACTCTAGCCCATGCAAATTACTAACTACACCACCTGTTGTATTTCAGTTCTGATTTCAGCCATTCAAGTGAAAAACTAGATGCTCCTTTCTGCTTTTTTACTACGTATCTTGCCAAAAAAAAAAAAAATCTTTCAGAGGTAGTTACTGGTTCACACTCAATTGACAAAAGCTAGTGTAGTTTTTATGCAAATGGTAACTATGGAAACAATGTACTACTACTTGTTAAACTCCAAAACTAAGGGATAGGAGATATTGAGACTCTAGTCAACCAAAAACTATTAGTTATGAATTAAAGTTCTTTTTTTGAAAAGAAAAAAAATGTATGACACATGAAAATCCCATGTTGTCAAGAATTACTACTGTCGAAAACAAAATATCTTGACTAGCGCCTCTGCCTGTTAAAACACAAGCGAAAGCTAAAAATAACAAAAAACACCCTAACACATGCCAACCCATGCTCTGGAGGAAAAGTATTTCATGCTTTAAGGTCTCTTTCTACTGCTTCACATAAGATCAACAATTGGACTAGAGGACCCCCCCCACCCATGGAATGAATTGGGAGATCAAACAGGAACCACAAAAATCAGCTTAAAGGTCTTGCACTTAGGTCAATTTTGTATGTGTTTGCGGGCTTGGCAAAATCAGCTAGCATTCAAATATCAATAATTGCATGGTTTATGCATTGCGTTCAGATACTCACAAGACAACACAAAACATGCATGAGACTTCGGAAGCGGAGAAAGGAGGGGATTTGTGAAAACCAAAAACAAACAATCAAACTTACCACAATCTTCTCGTTCAGAGCATCAGGTGGGGGATCCTCTTGTAACCCATTCCTTATCCATGAAATTCAGGCCAATGCATCTTCGGGCAAACCCTTTTCAGCATGTCGGACCATATCCGTGACTCTTTCGTCAAAGCTGATTCATGACGCTGAATTATCCGTGAAGTTGTCTGTTTGAATGGAGAAGATGATGAAGAGAGGACAGAGATTTCCTGGGTTTTAGGGTTTTTTTCCTCTTGAAACAACCGTGAATTTCAGATTATGTTTTTATTTTAATCAGTTTTGGTTATAGAGATTGAATGGGTTTAAGTTTCTTTGCCCGGTTAACTGATTAATTAACTTACTATGATCTGAGTTGGGTTATTTGAGGGTTTGATTTATTAAGGGACACTTGGCGAAATTATAAGGAGTGGGATAGGATGTGAGATAGGGTATGGGACAGAAGATCCGTTGCGCCTGACAAGTCGATCGACAGAGAATCTGTGCAGCCTCAAGACAGCAAATTAACAATTAGATTAGTACTCTCTCCCTTTTTTTATAACTAACGTTTAAGATTTTGCACACCAATTAAGAAAAGTTTTTTATTGTTTAAATCTATACACTACTTTCCTTTTGTACCCTCATTAATTGTCCAATTCACTCATGTTTTCTCTCATTAGAGTATTAAATGGTGCTGTTTTACTAGGTCAAAAGCAAAGAGAGAAGTAATAATTACTAGGAGTAGTAATAAAGAGCCCTGTATTGGTAAAGAGAGATAAAAAGATAAAATTGTGAAAAAATAATTAATGCTGCATGGGAATAATACAACGACAGATAAAAGTACTTAAGAGCAAATTTCTTAAACGTCAGTTATAAAAAAAGGAAGGGAGTATTAATCTCGATGGTCCAGCCACCTTCTTCTTCTTTTTTCTTCTTTTATTCTGTGGAATGGCACAGTTTTCACGGATGACAACCCATACAGTATCTACTTACAAGCTTTAGTTTACGTTTAATGTTGCAATTGATTAATGCTTAGAATATGTGTTAACTTAGTGGAATGTAACGCGGATTTAGCATCTCTCTCACATGAAAATTGTGGATAAGAGTGCAAAACATTTATAACAACTCGAATTTACGCACTAGAGTTGACAAAAAAAAGCTCAAAACCCAACAATCTGCCCATTACTTTTAAAGGATGAATTATGGGTTTTATTAGATTTGATAGAAACAACTTACAATAAAGCAAATATGAATGGTAAAAGTGTTAAATAAATTATGACAAAAATAAGTTTCAATCGATTAGTGGTATTAAAAGGTATAAAGTAAACAAATTTTTTTAGGTAATCTATTTAAATGTACAATTTATTAAATAAAATTCGCAATACAAGTAATATAAAATATTATTCTATTTATGATATTTTTCCAAGTAGCTTAAGAAGTGAGTGTTATGTCTATGAAAATATGTTTATGTATGTAAAAAAAATCTTTTTATTTGTGTAAATATATAAGAAAGAGTTTATGTATCACAATGTATTAATTAGCATGTTGGATCATGAATTTGAGATGATCCAATATGCCCCAACCTAAAATCAATCCAATTTAAAATTGGATAGATTGGATATAACCCATTTAGGTGAAAATCCAATATAAATCCGTCCAATTATCAAGTATATTACGCACTTCTCTCTACAACACTTTAAAAACAATAATATATACTCAGCACAGACTCCGAGCCTCGGCCTGGGAAAAATGGGTTTGCTTGAAATAGGGTAAAAGAGGCATTGGGTAACCTGTAAAAGAAAACCATCAAGACCACAAAAAGAGAGAGAGCTAAATAGTGGGGGCGTGGGAGTTGAATCCCCCAAATAAATTTAGGTAAACTCTAAGCAACCGATTTTTCAGATTCCTCTCTTTTTAACAGCTCTAGGAAAAAATCATTCCATGTATCGATTGGTCCAGGCAAGCACCAATGCACACAATCATTAGGCATTTCCACAGTCTGAGATGGCCAATGACCATATATGCTGGGGTGACCGTCTGGTCTCAGCAGCATAGGTTTTGTTGCATCGAATAACCTGAACTTCAATCCTCGTTTGCTTCCTTCTTTTTGTGCAATTTTGAGTTCCTGCAGTTGGATCTTGTACATTTCTAAATTGTTATCCGCCAAAAGGATCTCATTCCTCTTATAAGGCCTCTTCCTCACACAATTCCCACCGCTGTCCCAAGTTCCATTTTCAAAGTGTTGGGGAGAAAAGGTCCTAAGAAACGTTACACCCTTGAAGTTTCCTAAACTGTTAATGGCTCTGAAAGCAGTTCTGAAAGCTCTCTGATAGCTAAATAATGGTGTTACGTGAGTTACATTTTCCTGCGGACAGTATAAGCAGCCAACAATTCGGCCATTTTCATAGAGCATGGCCGGTCGGAAGAACCAGTGGCCACCTGAGATGACAACGTAGTCATATCCTTCGATCTTGGTTGTCCAATTTTCATCAAACTCATCAAGATATAGACCGAAGGAGCGGGCTTTATCGTTCGGACTGGTGATTTCCGCGGATCTCACTAAATAAGGAGCCCAAAGAATTGAAATCTTGAAGTTGTATTCCTTGTATTTCCATTGTCTGCTCTCATCTGTTGTGCTTGAGATCTCTTCAGGATAAAGAACCTAGAGACACGGGAGAAAACTTCGTAGTCTGTGATAATTATTGTTGTATAGCACAGTAATTTGTTTTTCTTCATTTTGTGTGCTAAATGATGGTGTATGCTCTTGTAGATGTTCAACTCCCATTATCTCTATTCGGTGCATTTTCAAAAAGACCAGAGTTTCCACTTAATTCTTAACTCATAGCTGCTTTGTTGAAGTCTTTAATCTTTCAAAATGTCTGTTAATACATTTTGATCTCTTATCCCTAAAATTTAGGTGTATTTCCTCACCTGATTTATTAACATCCCTAGAGATACAAAATCTAACGATTAAGAGAGTGTAGTGTATTTGTAACCCTGAAAGTTACATTATATGTGTCACAATTAGCCTTAACCATAACTTTCAAAAATAATCAGTGTCTATGTCAGATAAGTAAACATCAGGGGGAAACAGATAACTACATCTGTGTTTTGGATAGATATCATTGAAGTAAATGACCACACAACCACTAATATAATTAGCGCGGAATTTAATTCATACGAGAGTCGCAGAGACAGATGAATAGGACAGCAAACCATGATTCAATCCATAATTTTCTTTGGGAAATCTGAAGATGAACTTACCTTGGACAAGAGGCAAAATAGTGACTGCATATGATTTCTTGAAACAGAGTCTCCAACAAAGGCAATGGATTTTCCTCTAACCAGTTCCAAGAATTGGTGCGGATCGAATATCGGCAGCTCACATCCATCTGGTTTCCACCTCCACTTGAGGAAATCCAAATCGGGCCTCCCATATTTCAGGCAATTCTGATGTTCTTGTATCACATAACAAGTGGTGTTGGTATAATAAGGGGCGTCTGGGTTCGGCACCCACTCCCCAGCAAACAAATCACACTTTTCAACTACCTCGGGCCGGGCCTCCGGTTCACCTTCTTCAGTGTTGCTGCAGGGCTGAGAACCGTCGTCCTCAGGACGGCATGGCAAACTCTGGAGAGACGTATTAATTGACTCCTTGAGAGAATCCAAAGGAGAGGATGCTTCGGAGAATTTTCTGAACTGTAAAGGTGGAGAATATACAGAGATAACTGATAAAAGAATAGCTAGGACTATAAGGGAGGCTATCTTTGGAGCCTGCTTTCGCGTTTCGTGTCGTTTTTTCCTCGAGGGAAGGTCGAGGGCCTGGAACTTCATGGATGAGGGGGTCCTGGAGTTGGGACTTGGGAGGAGGACAAGTACAGGAGCTGAGAAATGGGCAGCTGCTTGCCCTGAGTCCGGACCTGATGAGAATTACATGTACACACCTGGCTGTGTGTAGATCCAAAAAAACAAAAAAAAAAAAACAATTTCCAGTGATCCTGACCTGTTTCTGTTCACAAAAGGTAAAAGGCAAAGACCTGTCTCACAAAAGCAAAAGCTAAAACTATATAGGCAGGAGCACATACTAGTACCATACTATGAAATTGCGATGCGGCACCTTCTATATTAGAATTTAGTCAGCCAGCCCAACCTGCCTCCCCGGATCCGGATGGACACATTTCTGATTAATGACTTTCATTCATTTATTTATTTTGGTAGAAAAGAGAAATTGCGTAAAATAATACACTACTTAATAGACGAGGTCAAATTGCTGACTGCTGCGCATGTTCCTTAAATATTAGGATTAATTATATTTACCTCTTTTAAAGTTTATCCACGCTACAAATCAGATTTTTTTCTATAGTTTTGCCTTCTACCAGTAACTCTTGTGAAATAATAAAAATACCCTGGTCTAAAAGGTTTCCAAAATAAATTAAGGAACTCGATAAGAGAGCATTTTTTAGCAAATTAGAAAATGTTCAAAAAAAAAAGAGAGAGGAACAAAGGAGAGTGATGCGATTCCATAATTAAGCATAAACGTGGATAAAAAGAATGAAGCAAACAAGACAAGAAAGAAATGTTATGATACATGAAACAAACGCCGAAAAAGAAAAAAAGAAAAGAAAAAACTTGTGCTTCATTTGGATTGTTTGTTCTTTAAGATTTTTTTAAAAAAATTTTCATTAACACATTTCTTAATCACCTTTTTATTTTGCATGCATCAAATTGCTACAAATTTTTTTAATAAAAATTCTAAAAAATAACAATCGAAACGGATTTTGATATTATCGAGAATTAAAAAAAAGAGGAAAATAAAAGCGGTTCATCTTCTCCAAATAAGTTTATTTCTTTTTCATTCCTTCTCATGTCCAATTCCACTCCAAATTGCATCAATGTTTTAAAAATCGGATCGAATCGATTGGCTCGATTGATCGAATCGCAAACCCGTCATACCATCAGTTTGATTTAATGAATAGTCCAAAAAATCAATTGAATCGGTTAAAACTAATCAAAATTCACATTCATTCAAAAGCATGCAAAATTTTTGCTCTCTTTCCATTTTCCTCTTCCTTCTTTCTTATCTTAAACCACCACTGTTGACATTGGCACTGTTGACTAGCACAAGTTAGAAAAACCTCATTTTCTTTTCCCTCTTATCCTCCTTTCCCTATTTTCTCTTTATTCTTTTCTCTTTCTTCTCCCTATTCCCTCATTCTCCTTTCTCCCTCTATTCACCTCTTATCTCTTCTTCTTCTTCTCTCTTTCCTATTGCCATCCCTTTCCCCTTTATGGCCTTTGTTTGCAACGACCAAAGGCCGCGGGGGGGAAGGAGAGCGAGAGAGGAGGAAGAAAGTAGGAGAGAGAGAATAGAGGAAAGAAGAAGAGAAGAGGGAGGGGAAGAGAGATAGAAGAAAATAAAATAAAAAAAGGGATCGTCGACCTCCATTGACGATCGACAGCCCCACATTCGGGAGGGGGAGGAGGAAAAAGTAGTGATGAAGTGGGAGCGAAGAAAAGGAGGAAAAAAAAAAGAAAAGGAATAAAAAAAT